AAAAAAAAAAAAAAATCAAAAAAAAAAAAAAAGAAAAAAAAACACGATCGCCTTGTAAGTAATGCCCTTGCGTGATAAAAAAATGTTAACCTCTAACTAGAAAAAAAGAGAGAAGGAAAAATGCATCTATAATTGTTTTGTTCGTTTTTGGTTTGAGAAGGAAATAAAAATATAATTTAAGATATTCATAAAGAGATGACTGAGATTGCGATTTAAACTTAAAAAATTATTATTTTTTTTCACTAAAAGCGTATTGAGAATAGGTAAAAATGCATGCGAATGCACGTTTAGGTGTAAAAAAAAGTTGTATAAAAAATTTACTTAATGTCAGCTGTTACAACACAACCAATATAAAGTGTTTGATGCTCAACGAGTTTCTTCATTGAAAAAAGGGGAATGGGGGGTGAGGGAAATTTGAGATTTTTTACCTTTCAACTTTATCTTTCTTCCAGTTAAAAGATAAATGCAAGACTTGCGAGTTGTTTGATTTTTCGCCCATTCGTTCGGTATAAACGCATTAAAAAATATTTTATTTGTTTGTCGCTGATTTATCAATGGATGTTTCTTTTTTTTTTATATTCATTATTTTTCGTTGTAACAAAAGTCGTTACAAGGTTTTTCCTTAAAAATCCCTGCGCTGAATATACGTATTATTGAATTTAAGGCACGGAAAATAGTTTGTTTCGTCATGTTCTCGATAATTGACAAGTTTCACACTTGATTGTTGCAATTACTTGCTTTTGTACATAATTAAATGTACTTCACTTGAGGCTCGAATGTTTGCATAAACCTTGCGATACATCGAATACTAGCAAAAAAAAAAAATTAGAAATAATTAAACGTATCGTAGTGTAATATATTAATAATTTACAATCACAGCCAATGTTTTTTTTTTTTTTTTTTTTTTAAGAAATTCGTTTGGCGAATTTGTCGTCAATTTTTTTTCTTCTCTTTTTAATTTTCATAATTTTCCAAATTCACGTGGTTGTTGAAATAATACCATGCCTATAGGCAGTAAGTATCGATATCACAACAACAACGTCATTATATGTATATCAGCAAAAATAACATTTTCCGCCCTCGGGTGGTTTTGGGAGGCTGGTACTTCCTCGGGCGAAAAAACAGTTTTCCGCCCTCGGGTGGTTTTGGGAGGCTGGTACTTCCTCGGGCGAAAAAGCAGTTTTCCGGAACTCGTTCGAAAAGTCTCCTTTACGAAACTCGCCTTCGGCTCGGGCCGCAAACCTCTCGGTTCGCAAACAGAGACTTTTCAAACTCGTAGGAAAACTACTATTATGTACTTTGGATCGACAAAAACATCTTGCATCGAGGTATTCCGTGAGGTTTACTTAAACACGCGCGTATATAAAAAGTGTGTGTGTGTGTGTGTAATGTATATGTTTGAAAAGGCACTCTATAAATAGTCGATCGCCGATAAAATTATCGCACCATCCCGCGTATCTTCCTCTCGTCGGCTCGAGATTACATATACATACCACGTACAAAAAGAAGCTATGACGTAAGCATACGTAACAAGGGTGAGTGTACGTATGTGTATACGTATATACGCACCATGGAGTACATTATTATATTCAAAATTGAATGCGATAGTTACTGGGCCTGGGTATCGACCGGATGCTGGGCTTGAGCATCGTCGGGGTCGGCGGCTGGAGCGAACTGATGGACGAGCTCTCGCTCTTGGTGCTCATGATGCTGCCGGTGCTCTGGCCGCGCGAGGACGACGACTCGCGCGACGACTTGCGCTGTTGCTGCTGCTTCGGGGCATCCCCGTCGCTCAACCGGCCGTACTCGACCCCGTTGATGCGCCTCGAGGGCGGTGGGATCAGCGATCTCGACTGGTGCTCCCGATGCTTGCCGCCACCGTTGATGTTCCCGTTGCTGCTGGCCAAACCCTCCCCAGGCCCTGGGATACCCAAGCGCTCGTAGTCGTTGTGGTGGTGGAGGTGCAGGTGCTTGCTCTTGTGGATACTTTCGGAGGACTTTTTGCGGCGCAGCACCTTGGCCGCGTACTCCAGGGTACAGTTGCCCGAGTCCCGGATGGTCGAGACCGGACTGGGGCCGGTCGGCGAGTCGAGACCGGCGCCGCTCTGTGGGTTCTTGCGGGCCTCTGAGTCGCTGAGCCGACAGTAGCGCGAGTTCTGGGACTTGAGCGAACGAGGCGGCCGTGGCAACGAGCTGGGCGGAAGACTGCCGGCCCGCCTGGGCTGGTGGTGGTCGGGCTGTTGCTCCTGCATGCGTTGGCGCTGGGAGCTGCGTCCCTGCTTCTCGAGAAGCATCATGTCCTCGGGCTTGCCGTCGGAGAGACGGGACTTGAAGCGCGACGCGGCCGCGGCAAAGTCGAGGATACCGGAGGCGGCTTCCGAGGCTCCGGGCGAATCGTCGAGCAGTCGGCTCTTGCTCGAGGCTGTACTCGACCCGCCCGACTCTACACTCGCCAGTAGTGGCTTGGGTATTTTTCCTTTTCGCGACATAGCGCCTGGATTAGAGATAGAGAATCCTGGAAAACAGCAAAGTGCACGCTGAAACACAGAAGAAGAGAGCCCCGCACGATTTGACTCGACTTGGATCCAGGATCGAGGGGAAAAGCGGTCGGTCGGTCGGTCGGTCGTCGTCTTCGTCGTCTGTGCGTCACGTTTGTACGTTTGTAAATCGGTAGCGCTCTCTTCTTCTGGGAGTCAGGGATTGGCGACAACCCCCGGAGTTGCCCTCCGAAGAGAGGGTTAGTGGCACGCCACACAGAGACACTGCACGCCCACGACAAGTGCATGCGCACGCAATTGTAGGATGTTGGACATTTGAGGATCATTTGGACTGTTTCGCTTTGTAAGACCATGTGTGTCAGCACTCACCCGTTATCTATATTTATACTAGCATTGAGTGGTTAACACAAAGTCTTACAACCGCGGTCCAGTGTTGAGGGAAGGAGAGTTTGATAATCGATGGTCATATAAGTTTAGCAATATTTTCAAAATCAAAAATTGTTTTTAGAATAGAGTAGTTATGAGTGTTACGTATGACTCAATACAGTGATGTGTATGATGATGAGAATGATTGTGATTAGTGTTGGAGCGAAAACAAACTTGAGCTCTGCATTTGCGAATATCTCGTTAAAAAGAAGCACTGAGAGAATCCAAGAGAAATGCGTCATTAGAAAGAAAGTTTTTTTACAGCAATTTTAATAATTAACAATCACAAACATAATTGTCCATTTTAACTTATAAATTTATTTTTCTTACGTATCTTACAATAATAATATATTAACTAAAGCCATTGGAAATTAATAAAAAAATAATTGTTATAGAGATAATTCTCTCAGTGATGGTAAAAATATAAATCAAATACGCACAACTCACAAAAATCACTAAACAAAAAAGAAAAAACTAAAATCGGAATTTGAGGGCAGTTAACAGCGATTAATTAATCAGTGTTAAAATGAAAAATAGTACTACATCAGCTTTGACTGCCCTCAAGAAATAAATCTAAAGTTGTCCTAGCCACACAACACAAACGTAACGATACCTTTTACTGTATACCTTGAATTAGTTTCATAGTTTGCTGCTGCTGTATAATTTGCTTAATTACAATTACCTAACTTCGCTGTTCTTTTTTTGAATCTCGTTTGAATACGCGAATACGAAAAAAAAAATCGCGAACGAATGATTTGTCGAATAAAAAATAATTAATGTGCATCATTAAAAGTTAAACGGATGTACGTAAAATTTAAGTAAATTAACTATCAAACCCGAAAAATATAAAATTACACAGTTGAATAAATATGTGCGTAAAGATGAGCGATGATTGCGTGATTTGTAGTTACACATATAATGAAACGATCAGTGCTACACAGAAAAAATTATCCCTACCTTGCTGAGTAACTGTGAGTCGAGTTCTTTAAGCTGATCATCTAGACTCTTGTTAGTTTGCTCAAAACTTCCTTGTTTCCTGTAACCATAATCAATACCGTACGATGCTGCGCTACCATACGTAATATTGCCAACTGTAACTGTAAAAAAATAAATAAAATACAATTATGTTAACATTTAAACTGCAAGAAAATTTCTGGAACCTCCGACTTACCGAGCTCTGGAGTACTGGTAAGAGCCGAGTGGTGATCTGCCGATGTGCTGGAATGTGTAGAGTGAGCTGCTGGATAGCTGCCTACACCACTACTACTGCTGTTGTCTTTGTCATAGGTGTGTTTTTGTAGCACCCTAATCATAGCGTCTCTCTCAGCCAGTTTGGACTCCAGATCTTTCATCCTGTAAAAAATAAAATAACCAAACATTCAACACAACATAAGCAGCCGATCGATCATATGTGACATCGTGAGAAGTGTAGTATTACCTGGATTCAAGATCTGCTAGCTTCTTTTGAGCAGCATGAACCTCGTCCATGTGCCGCATCTTTTCTGAACGAGCTTCAGCTATCAATTTCTCTGCGTCTTGACTCGTTTTCTCAAGAGCAGCAATTTTAGCATCCCTTGAAACAAATGTCACGTTTACAGTAAATAAATAAAGAAAAAGATCGAGAAATACTTTTTTCAACTGTCACACCAACTTACTTTGGAAGACTAGCGGCATCAATGGCTGCCTGTCGGAGCGCGCTTTCCTCGAGATAGCGTTGCTCCCACTTGGCGACATCTCCTTCAAGGGACATGACTTTCTCGTCCCGCTCGCGCAACTTACGCTTCAACTCCGTAATAGTTTCTCCGTTGCCCGAATGATCGCCACCACCACCTTCCCTCAGCTCACGTTCCAGCTGACCCCGCAGCTGGCGCTCTGTCTCTTCGCGTCTATCGCTAGACGCCTGCAGGGACTGCAGAGCTCGTTGAAGTTGCGCCACTCGTTCGACGTACATTTGCTTCTTTCGGCACTCCTCCTCAAGTCTAACCACGTTGCTTTGAGCGTTGGTGAGGGCCGTGTCGAGGATGTCGATGTGCGTTCGTTGCTCTTGCAGCGTCGCTCGCTGCGCAGCCAGTTCGATCTCCTGGCGTTCTTTGGCTGCTGCTAATTCCTTGGCTGATTGTACAAAAAATTAGAATCATCTCTCACTCCACGTGTAAAAGCAGTGTTTAAAAGAAATAAAGGAAAAACTCATACATACTTTGAGTGATAAGCTGCCCGATGAACAGCTCCTTTTGGGTGAGTTCCTTCCTCATCGAGTCAATCGTAAGCGGGCTCTCTGTGCGCGTGGTCATCAAATCGATCTGATCCCTTAGGGCCCGATTGAGCTCCTGCAGTCGTCTGCAGTCACTCTGCAGCCTGAGTCGCGCTGCGCGTTCAAGCTTCTCCCTGCGCTCGCAGGAGGCGGCGAGCTCTTCGTGGGCCCTGTGGACCTTGGCTATTTCTTGCTCCAGTTGCTGCGACTTGGCGACTTTTTTGTAACAGCGATCGAGCTCGAGTTTTAAGGAACTGTTTTCTTGGATGAGTATCTGCACCATCTCCGAGGTCGGCCATATCTCGCCGGTCGTCGTCACGAATTCTTCCCTGCCCTTCGTTTGCGGCCGAGGAGAGATCGTGCGCGGATCATAATTCTCTACTTCGGCCTTGCTGAGCCTCGACAAATCGGGTTGCGACCTCGAGAGCGTCAGCTTTTCCGTGGGCCCGAGCAGCCTGTGTCTGCTTTTGACCGGCAACAGAGTCGTCGCGTAATTCGATTGCGGTCTGTCCTCGTAATCGGCTTGCTTTCCGCGATCGCCGTCTCCTAGTAAGCTGCCATCATTACCGGTGAGCTTCACGTACGAAGGCACTTTGACTTCTTTGGCCAAGTGTTTTAACACCTGAATGACATGGTGTGAGAAATAAGAAAAACAAATTGCAAATGCGATATTAGAAGAGCGCAAGGTTGTTACCAGTTTTTTTTTTATAACGCACCTGCGATTGACTGAGATAATCATCGGGTATGTCGGTGATTTCTTGACAGCCCCCGCTGCCCGTGTTCTCGTAAATGTGATCGTCGTGTGGTAAATTCGCCAGGGACTGTATCGTCGGACTGTTGGAGTGGCCCTTGCCACTGGCCCCCTCGCAGTATATGTAGCCTATGTCACCGTGGTCCCTCACGACTCCGGACAATCTGCAATTCATTGAAAAAAAAACAAAAACCATCGTTATAGCGCAAGGAGTGAAATGTATATACATGAAAACTTAGCCGAGTGTATGACAAGGACCTTGACGTGGGCGTCCACGAGTTTTCATCGTTGGCGTTGTGGATGATGAGCGTGTTGTACGAGCTCGTGGATACGTCGAGGCTACTCCTGTTGGAGCCGACGCTCGTGCGATTGCTCAGGTTGTCCTTGAGACTGTTCCTGTTGGAGCCGCTTATACTGTCTTTGAGACTGTTTCGGTTGGAACCGTTCAAACTCTCTTTCAAACTGTTTCGGTTCGAGGCGTTGTTCAAGCTCTCCTTGAGCAGGCTGTGCTGCTGGTTCTCCTGTCCCTGGGGCTCCTGTCTGGCCGTGTGCCTTATCACGTAGCGCTCCTCGTTGCTCAAATTTTCGTTCGACGTCGAAACATCTGTGTCACTGCCGCTCAGGCTCTGCGGTAGTCCCCCTTTATCGGAACAATGTTCAAATGAATAACCACTCGATAAACGCACGAGAACAATAAAAAAAAGTCATTATAAAAATATATCTATAAAGTACCTTGGCTTGACAACTGCTTCCTCTGTATGTTGTTATTGTTGTTGTTGCTGGTCGCAAAAGGTAGAAACCTCCCGGTTTGTTGAAGGGAACTCATGGCATTAAACTTTCATCTGAACTGGTTCTCTCTCGAATCTGCAAACATGTATAAAAGTAAGTAAGTACTCACACACACGATTGTAGGTACGAAAAATATTGTAAGGATTGAGAGAGTACATTTTGCGTAGAGCGTGGATGAGAGTAATCGCGGGAAGAAATATTTGAGAGAGAGAATATGTTTTCGCGTGCGATAAGCACCGACAAGACAAGAATTTCTATCCATCAATGTTGTGCCGATAATACCTGCACGTGCGATAAGCATCTCTCTCTGCTCGACTTGGATTTCATGCTTCGATCTCGCCTACAATTTATTTGTTATTCGTTAACAAATTGATGCATGTATGCTTGGTTCACTTTAATTTAATATCGTCCCGTGGGGGAGAGCGAACGAACCGGCAAGTCACCGCAGGATGATGCGGATACAAAAAGCACAACTCTCAATCGAGCATTGGCGTGATTGAGTAATTGAAAGAATTCACAAGCAAAAACAAAACGCATGCTCAAACTGTGTCGGGGGAGAAAAAACACACGTGTACTTTTGTACGATATCGAAGCCGGAACACACGGCTGATCAACTCTTCTAGACTAATTACTTACACCTACATTGATTCACAAGTGGCTCGCTCGGGGGCACGCATTCCTGATGCGCGATTTCCTTGATAAACCTAATCTCTCTTTTTTTTTATTTTTTTTTATTTATATACCTACAAGTACAACGTAAATCGCTTGAAAATACCAAATAAAACTATGTTCAAGGTGTATACGTTATACACCAACGAATGTAACAATGTGACTGCACTGCAGAGAATAAATGTGATTTTTGATCACTCACGCGAGGAGAGTAGGAGGAGGAAGTGTTATTCAAGCGAGTAAGCGTGAACGATGATAATAGTAAGAGTTGCCGAGGTCTTGGATGGTGGGGGGGGGGGGCCACAATCTGAAATTCCATCGTTAAAAGAATGAGCGTGTTTATCTTTATATCGGCTTAAATACCGTACAAGCCCGTGGTATCACATCGATATTACGTATCACTTTCTCGTACATCTCCGTATTTTTCACTCTCGCATATGTATTATACCCAAATAGATTGAAATGCTTTGTGAATTACTCACAGCTACGTGCAGGTAACTCCAAAATTATTGGGGCACAATAATCAAAAAGACACAAATTTGGGCACGTAAGTGTGACAATTGTATTGTACTTGTAATTGCAAGTACAACGAGGAGAAACAGATGAGTATTTAATTAATTAAAAGGACGGCTTTTGGTGGTGTATCGGTAGATATAACATATTACACTCGTGACTCCTTCACTCTCTGCGGCTCTCTTTAAAATATTTTGTTCGTAGGTACATATATATACACTTAGAGATCGGATGAGCGGCTAATGTAATAAATATGTCCGAGTATAAGGTAAGTATATATGTGGGAAGAGCGTTGAAAAACAGATTGCTCTGCATCTGCAGCCTTTGTCCAGCTGCATGCATCGCATACCGAAAAAGACACGATCTCTCCCATATATACAGATGGACAGCTGCTCGCAGAGGAGAGGAGATGAAAAAGACAGATGTTAGGTACTTATATCTTCTTTCTAACATCATGCAAAAAATATATAGAAATAAAATAGAGGAAAAGAGAAAGAGAAAGAGAGAGCACATCAGTGAAGAGGAACAGAAAAAAAGAAACACATCAGTGATGTGGGGGGGGGGAGAGAGGCACGCGCTCTCAGTCATATATTATATTCTAGCGGCTGCAACAATCGGAGTCAGTGTCAACACTCTGGAATGTTGATAATCGGAAGATATCGGACTGTTGGCTGGCTGGCTGGCGCTCTCTTGGTGACTCCTACACACACTGTATGTACAATGGAGTGGGTATATTATATAGGTATGCGTTTAAAGTTTTGAGAGAGTGTTGCGAAACACATCAGAAAGAGAAAGAAAAAACTTGATATCAGGCCTGATGTGTATATATGTGGCGAAGATGAAATTTATTTAATCCAATTGAGAAAGATTTCCTCTTTCTCTCATCTTCACCTTCCATATATATATATACACAACATGTGTATATACATCATAAAATGTTTCGGAGTCGAAGTGGAATATAGAGAGGATGAAATGTAAGATCATGGGTATATAAGTAAAGCAAGTAGATTTTTAAAATATTGACAATCACAACGATAAAACGTGCATTTGCAAAAAGAGGTGGTCCATATAATATAATATATGTATATTGATGACATGACGTGCAATAAATTAAACCCACACATACACATTTATAGTACGTTCACATTCCTTTTCCACAGGCGATATCGTGTCAAGATTCTTCATTTACTTACTTTATAAATAAACAAAAGTGTTGGGCCAATAAGTCCACGCGGTTGAAGAATTATTTGTAAAAGAGAGAGTAGGTATAAGTACACACCGAACGTTGAGAGAGAAAGAGTATGCGTATATATATGTATATATATATATATATATATATACACGTACAGCCACACACATTTATATATAACCACAATGTCCACGCAAAATTGTAAGCATGAGATCAGCAACACGTTAACCGAGGAATTCCAGTGATCTCGTCACTCCGCGCTATGCCTTGGAATATACATTTTTTATCGCACATACAATCACTGATCCGCGTACACGTACGCACACGCACACTCTCACGTACACGCGCTTATGGGCCTTATTATTATGCCTTGTATACATATACACGCATGCCTATGTAGATATTATCCACATGCACACATATTTTCTCTCTATAGAATTATCTCCACATATTTTCAATAACTCCAACAGAACGGCACGATTTCGCTTAATAATATACTTACGCTGCATCCGCGTCCGTGAAAGAGTTGTTCGTCCTCGTCTTCTTAAAAGAGCCTGTTACTTGTTACGTATTGAGTATATAAACAATGTATGTGTAACCAATTAATAAACACACTCGATCAACGTGTAAATATCGCGAATCGAATCATGAAATGAAAACGACCATTCACAAACAGCCGGACGTTGCGTTCAAGAATTCTCTTTGCCTCGAACTGATGAAAAATGCCAATTTTTTTTTTTTTAACACTCTGCCACAGACACATGCACAAGGTGAGACTGAGACTGAGAGCTGCCAAGTTGAGCGGAGGGAGAGACACTGCACGACGAGTGGCGGCACCGCGGCACCCGCATGAACTGTTTTGCGCGTGACACACGCGTGACGTCAGAGAGAGAGAGAGACAGATGGGTAAATCGGTGAATTTACGAGCAGTTCGTATAATGGATCTTGATAAGTCGCGTAAGGTCACGAGTGAGGTTCTACATAATTTAATTCAGGTCTAGGAGCATACGATAACGCGCGATTATCACGAAATGCGCCACATAAGATGAACATTAATTTAACAACAAATCGTGACATTACGAAGTACAAGTGTGGTCGTCATTTTATCTGTGGGAATTTCAAATCGACATCCAAAAAATACATTCGTTAAATTCCATCTGTCTAAAAAAACATGAGTAAATAAAAATATTTTGTCATTTCAAATGCATTGTGTACAAAATAGAAAAATTCAAGTAACCTTTAACTCACGCTGCTCGTACTCAAACACAAATAATACTCGACGATCACGAAGCCCTAACAATTCAGAGATATTCTTTCAGACCAACTGCCAAGTTTTTTTTTTTATAAATTTGTCAAAACTACACAACTATATAAGTAACGTACGTGTACACACTGCATGTAAATATACAGAGGAGATAAATTATAACGAGTGTAAGATCTGATCTAGTACGAACTAGACCTATACGTACGTACGTTGTTACATTATACGGAGCTGACATCTTATAGTTACAAAAAAAGGGATTAAAACTTTGCTTATTCTGAAAATTTTTTTTTTCAATATGACTAAATTCTTATGAGTATAATATATATGTATAGTAAGATGCACATACTACACGTAAGCTTGAATCGAGGTTCACAGGATGTGTTCACTTATTCTTGAGAAGGCCGTAGGTTTTCGCATCCATATTTATTAAAAAAGTGCTGAAGGTATTGTAGGCTAAAGTTTGAAATAATATAGGGAGGACTAAATTATTTAAACAAACCCCATTTTTTAAATCAAAAGTGTACTTATCTATCTGAATCACTGTTCACAAAGTTTCATCATTCACTAAGAAATATATATACAGTAAGTGTTTATCAAAAAACTATATAATTTAAAGGCACGTGATCTAAAAAAAAAAAGTGGTTTATATTACATATGCAGTGACGTAAGTACCTATGTCTTGGCTAGACGGGAAACAAACTTTTTTCCTTCGACGCAGTTTATTGCACGCTTTTACATGGGCGAATAATAAAACCTGTTTAATTATATATTATTATATACTTAGCTGTAAAATCAAGAACTAATTCTCACTTATGTATCTTAAAGTGCACATAAGTGTCTCGATTATATTAGTATTATTATTCATCTTCTTATAATATATTTACCGCAATTGTTCATAACCAACATATACTTTCTACACCTTTCGATTGCTTTCGTATTTAATACAACTGCAGTAACAAATTTAAATTCACTGTGAATCTGTGAACTTAAATAACGCCGGTAATGTGTATACATATCTTTAAAGTAGGGTAACTCTAAGGCAGCCCTATTTAGGGTGTGCGGATTTCGGAAAAATCGTTTCTATTTTTTTTTTTCTTATACATACATTACACGCAAGACATTCGGCATACATACAATATAGGTGAATTAACATTTTCAATGTTTATATAAAATAATAAACGAAAAGGTCAAAAAGCCAAGCTCATATTGTTGTGCGCCTAACCTTAACTTACAGTTTGCGATAATGTGTCCGGCTCCGGGCTTCGGCCGTCCGGTATCCGCATACTTGATATGCGAGACGATTGGAGTACTTACTAAAGTAAGGTAAATGAGACTTGAACGCCATTGAAAAAAATCCTGATAGGACCGAATTAAAATTATATATCAGGAGCCATCGCAGTCGGTTATGAATAAACACCATCTTGCTGTTATTGTTCACTTGTTCACAATTCACGACCCACGGAAACCTCTAACTCCTTTAAGTGCGCTCTATATGCAAGTGAGTGTAATAACAGGTGCGCGCGGTAATCGTCAATTTTTGATCAATCGAAAAGTACATAGGATTAAAATTATTCTCGTTAAACGTAAATAATATTGTCGCTAAGTTGATGGCAATACGATACACCCATTGTTCGCGTTCGCGGGTACAGGTAAGTAAGCGCAGTCTGCTGCAGTGTGCGATTCGTTCGCAATATGAGATGTCGTCGCGCGAAACTCGCGAGAGTCGCCGGTCTCTGTTTGTTTATAAGTATTACAAAAAACGCCCAAGATATCGTACATTCATTTATTTTCGATGACATAGAATAAATGAGATAGTGGGTCATAAGATTATTGAAAGGTATGTGTATTTTTACCATAACTGATGACAATCCCTAAGTCGAGGTTGAATTTTTTTTGCTTGATTTCTCATAGACTCGTCCTCTCAAGATGTTGTACGATCTCAAGTCGATCAAAAGTTTCTTCGGAAATGGGCCCTATAGGTACGGCGTGTTGCCGTTGGGGATCCTTGCAATAAACAATACCTACTTAGTAGACGTTGATGGGCTATCTGCTGTGGTGAGTTAATATTTGTACCTACATATATATCTAATGTTTGTTTCTTGAATGTCAGTGTGTATGACACGATATACAATAAATGGTTTAAATAAGAAAATTATAAACAATAATAGGTATTAAAACATATTCTTTCGTAAAGCAAAAAGTTTTTTCCATCCGTAGGGTCCAAAAGTAAAGTTTTGTATCAATACCCAATAATCATACTATTTATTGTATGTTGCTCTATTTTATTACTAAGTTTTATTTTCTACCACCTACCACCAAAACTGTTAAGTTGATCTGTTTTATTGGCTGATGATAATTGCGTGTGGTTTTTGAATTGTTGATTCGAGATCAATGATAACAAACAATATGGTTGTAAATAAGTTAATATCATTCAGATTAGGCATAATTTTAAATTCTGAATTAAGACAATCAAAGAAAGTGTTTGTATCAATAAAACCTTTGAGTGCTAAGTGTTATCATACTCTTCCTAAAGTTCTTCATCAACATAGTCACGTAACCCCAATAGGTAGGTGTTTATGATGATTTTAATGCTTATTAAGTTCTTGCTGGTGTTCATGTAAGTGATCTTTTATTAAATTTAAATACCTGTCCAATTGACTTTCAAATAAGTATTTTCATTATGGATTTTCATTTTGAGGTAACAGAGTTGGAAATTGTTTCTTAGCACCTAACATTTTATCAAGAGCAATGAGTGGCAGTAAATCTTTAAGTGTGAACTATGATGATGTTGTAAAAGCTCAAGGTGATAAGGATATTTTAATCATTGATGTAAGAGAAGTTTCTGAAATACAAGAAACTGGACAATTGCCTGGAAGTATTCACATTCCAAGTAAACAGCTTATTCATGAACAATTACAAAACATTATGATTAGAAATTCACAAGTTTAATTTAAATTTTAGTGAATGACGTTGTTAATGAGTTAAATCTCTCGAAAGAAAATTTCAAGAATAAATATTCGAGAGAAAAGCCAGCTCTAGCAGATAAGATTATTGTAAGCTGCAAATCAGGCAGAAGAAGTGCATGGGTTCAATCAGAGATTCAAAAAATAGGTTATTCCAAGTAAGATATCACAAATTAATCACACTCGTTTTTGATTGAATAAAATCTAAGACATGTCCCATTTTGTAGCTCATACAACTATGATGGAGGTTGGCTTGATTGGGAAAAACATCAAAAAGCATTAAATGCAATAAATGCAAGGAAGCGTGTTTTATAAAAATGTTGTTATTATTTACTTACAACTGCGACTTTTTTTGAAGTCGATTTTAAATTATATACAATTTTTCAAAATAAATTAGAACTTGTTTTTAATAAGTCTATTTCAATTACACAGTAAAACAGTTGTCTCATTTGATTTATGTACACCACCTATATGATGAGACTACAGTCACTCTGTCAATATGACAAATCTTCATCACTGCAATTCTATTTCCTTCAAATATTTGAATCGTTCATTATTTGTTTTGCTCTTGAGACAGCTTATGATTGATCATCTCCCTGAACTGTCCAAGAATTAAATTTTCTCTCTTCTGTCTTTCCTCCTTACTAAACATAGCAAGAGCTCTCTTTTCATCAGCCGAGTAAATCTGGTTCTCCTTACGTATACGGACGGCCTCCATGCGACGATGTCTATAAAACAAATAGAGTAGGTTACAAACGTACATTATCATCAAACGTCTAGAAAATGAAAAATTAGTATGCTTGACACTTGCCTGCTACCGCTCATTACATAACCCACTGATTCATAGGATGCAATTTCGTCTGAGGTCAGACCTATTTCACCTCTCCTCGGGATACGTTTACCCTCAGCTACGTAAGCAGCCATAGCTGCACCTTCACCAGGTAACAAAGCTTTTCCAAAATCTTTGGCAGACAATGTGACATGCTGCTTTTGAGCTGGACCCACGATACCCTCATCTTCGCTTGCCTCTGAGTTGGAGTCCTTTGTTTTTGGTTTGACAGTAACAGAGCTCTTTTCAACCCATTCTTCTTCCGAATCTGAACTGCTGCTGTCCGAACTACTGCTCGAGACCTTTTTCTTCTTCTTTCTCTTTTTTTTCTCTTTCCTTTTTTTCTTCTCCTTTTTCAATTTTTTGCTCTTCTGTAAAAATAACACATGTTTTGAGTTGAGGTCGTTGATTGAGATTTCTATTTGTGTATTAAGATACTGAGACGCTTACCTTCTTTTTCTCCTTCTTCTTTCGTTTTCTATCATTGAGAATGTCGTCATCTTTCTGCTTTTTTAATTTTTTATTTTTCTCCTCCTCTTCATCAGTACTAAAATAACATGGTAAGGTCTCAATCATAAAAATTTCTTTAAAAAACATGAAAACCATTAGAGATACAACTTACTCCTCGATTCTGGTAGGAGACCTTCCCCAAACTCTTTCGACGCCCACTAATCCAATTCTTTCTCTATCTTTTCTCCTGTCCATGATTCTTGGTACACAAATAAAGCCGTTTTTTGACAATTTTCAAACATAGAAGTATTTATAATGTTTTCAAATAAAAAACATAACCTCGGATCTCCGAATGACAAAACGACGTGTGGTGGTGACTTCTAGAGCAACTAAAAAAATGATGTTATGAAAGAACTCTGACGTATCGATTGTAGATAAGAAAAACAGGGCGCGTTTTCTTTCTTACCAACAAAATTTTTTATTAATCGAGGGTAAGGATGTAAAAATTAAGTGGTATAACTGAATCTCCGACCGCGTGGCGGCATGATTCGCTCCCGCATGTGGCGAAAAAAGTGTCTGGTTAGTATACATAGACCAAATTGACAGCAGCTGTTCAGAGATGTGTACACACTGGCTCATGACGTAAGTCTACAGTCACTCACGTGGACGGACTCGGTTTGAATAGTTTGCTACGTTGTAGTAGCTCACCGATCCGTACCTACAGGTAAGTAAGGTAAGTGGACGTGAGTGACTTGCTGGTGCGTACATGTTTTTTGTATTTTATTTTTACATTTCTATTGAAAACCAGAGTTTTGCTTCATTGTTTGCGTTTTCCCAAACCAAATTCCTCTCTTTTTTTATTTCTTCTTACAAAAGGTGAAAATTCTGAGAAATCAAGAAAAACATACATCCGCTGCTTTAACTTGATATAATTTTCCAACATTAATCAAGATACATATAGTCATCTGTCCATTTATTATAAAATTTTTTTTTTTCAGCTATAATTCGTTCAAACAGCCTTTCGTACATTTGCTCATTATTTTGTTTTCTCTTGAAAAATTCTTTTGTGTCTAACATATTCTTTATTTGTATACGTACTGAAAAAACGACTACTGAATATATAATCGTAATTATTCAATATGCCTTTAATTGTAATCATGAGATTTTTAATAAAGTCTTAGAATTTCATGTTTTTGAATCATTTTTTACTACGTGCTCAAAGTAATAACATAAAGAAACTAATTTTCCAAAAAAAACTGATAGTATAATCTGCATACAATCTGCTTATTTTTGCGGACTCTCATAAAGTAGTATATGGATACATGATTTTTTCCTGCTGATAGCTCTATTATTCAGAGGGATGAAAAAAAGAACGCAACAAAATGTTAATTCTTAACTAAATTTTTTTTTATATACAACAATTTTATACATATACGTAAAATTTTGATCCATTGACTGTTTTTTTTTATTAAAGTAATAAACTTTGTTCTCACAATTATGTCATGTTTCGTGACGATATAAATACCTAATTATCAAACAATTAAAATTACTTTCATGTATGCTAACACTGTCGTCACAAGATGTATGTAAGAAAAATTGTTATGAAATCCTATATTTTTTATATACATAAGCCAATTAGTTATTTTATTTGCCATATCTACAAAATCATTGAGCTACATATAATTTTTTTGTAATCGACAGTAGGGCATAAATTATTTGTCCGTATAATGCTTTTAAAAAAACTCTTGGGTTGTAGATTAGAGATTTTTATAATCTTAAAAGGTAGCAACATCATTAAAATTTATTTATATTTGCAGTAACAATAAATAAACAAACAAAGCAAAAGTTTCTGCTCAGATACAACGTAATTGCTCTACTTTTGATGATTTTAATACTTCCAATAGATTCAATTTATTTATTTTTATTTTATTATGCATCGTGGAGATGTAATGCATACTAACGCTTCAGTCAAATTTGTATAAATAATTGTATGAACTTATATATTCATACTCAACGGCATGATTATTGCAAAACACGAATGAATTCAAGTAAACAAACGTGCACAAAAAAATTCTAATATTTAATAAAGAAACTATTGAGTTGAAATATTTCTGTTTTGTTCGATGAATTTAAAAATATATCCTTCAAAATTAGATTTTGGCACGAAGCGATATCTTTGAATATTTATTTTATAAACTGTATCAAATTTTCCCGCACAAAAAAATAAATAATCGAAAGAAAATTAATTCACACATTAGAGATAATTGGGAAGTGACAGTGACAGCAAGCTCTCGCACTTCCTGCTAGAAAAAAGTTCAAAACCACTAAGCTTATCCATGATATCAAAGCAGTGTATTGATAATAGGCGAACTGTTCAATATATCATTAATTAAGCGTATTGAATGGGTGAAGTTTATATCTCAAGTCAACAGACTATCAAATAGTAGTACATTGCAAATGTGATTAGTGCATTTTTCAGTCAATTGGTTGCTGCTTACTACGTGATATATGATTCACTACGTCTATTCTGCCTCCATATTATATAGATATTAAGAAAATCTGTATACATAACACGATGCAATCGCAACATCCAGCAATACCAAAATTGCCAAACCCGTATTGCTGATGGTGTCTGGCGATTTAATTTCGTAAAGCACTACTTTTTGGTTGTTCATTAGCCTGAGACGTCAAGTTAATCCCATTTAATAATCAAATGCAATACACTCGCATTTAACGATGTTCTGCACAATTCGCCCATTTTGCACAATTCTGCTAGGTAGATAGATTATCTGATATCTGTAATTGATAAGTGGATTATTTCTTCTTTAACAAGGAAACACACAAGTTTCCCAATATCAAATGTAATAAAGCTTTTAAAAAAATTTTTTTTCATTACAACTTTCTATAATTACTTTGACTGACTCAATGGACGAATGAGTTGTACTTGTACTGCTCGAGATAACTACGATTAAAATTTTAGACACCCGGAATCGGCGGCGGAGGCAGCGTTGAACCAGCTAACGATCGCGTGCTCTTGAATTATAGCGGCCAGCTCTTTTAGCCATTCGTCTAAAATAACGGCACATACAACGACATTTTGCACACGACTTATTTTACTTGAATTTTCCCACATGCTCGTCTCGTGATGTCTGGCGCTGAAAGTTACATTTCCAATTACACGTTGAAAAAAAGAATAATAAAAAAAACAACCCAAGCACTTGATACTTACTTTTGTCTAGAAACTCCATTACTTGCATCTTCTTCAGCTATATTTGAAAACGAATCGTTGCTGTAAAATGAGTCTGCCTCTACGTTGTTGCTGTTTGATTTTCTAAATATTTGAGTTAGAGATGACGTTAAGCTCCTTCTCTTTGGTTCTAAAGCTGGACACATAAAAGTTGAAAGTGAGAAAAATGAACACTATTATTGATAAATTACGATAGTCGTATTCCAGTAACCTCTATTTGTTGGCATTGACACAGGTGCACCCGAATGACCTGATTCTCCACCAGCATGGTTTTTCTTTGGACTAGGAAATTGTGCGGCGGCTTCGAGAACATTTTTTCTTGCATTAACGAGTCTGTTTTCTCTAGAGATTAAAAATACTCGAGCCTGCTCCACTAAAACGCTAATAGCATCCTCCGGTTGTTTCATTGTAAATCCATCAATCTTATGCTTTAGAGACGCAAGAACCTTTTGGATGTAAAAAATATTTCAATAAATTTGAATAAAAAATAAAAAACAATGATATCGATTGCAAAGTTTTACCTGAAATAAGTACTTGATACTGGGTTGGAAGACTAACGAGTGATTCAGTAGGAAAGATTGCAGGAGAGGCTGAGGATAAATGGCAAGTCTACTTATGAGTCCAGTTAAGTGTAAATTGACATAAACATTGTTTTCCGTCATGCATTCCAATTTCTTCAATAACACGTCTAAAAATACACCGACGCTCGGTGGTCGACCGTCGGCTATCTCCAATCGTTTTCCATTTCTCGTGAAAGCGTTTCTCCTCTGTAATCGGTGCCTCCTCTGATGCGTTGTTGTCGATCTTTGCCGATTGGCAATCGTGGGTGGGTCAGTGGGTAGACTTTGATCGGCACTTGCCTTTGATACGGTATTCTCGTCGTCATAGTCGTCGTTGACGGGAGTAGACTCGTTGGATCCCTTGAAGGCAAAACTCTCGTAACCACTGCTTTCGCCACCATTAATTGACAACTGCAAGGAATTCAGCATATTGCTCGACTCTTCAGTCATACTCGAAGGACTTTTGACATCCAAGTTGTTCCGTGTGTTGCTCACAGTTTCAGTCAAAAGTTCGGCTATGTCGGCGTCAAGCTTTTCTCTTTCTCCGGGCGAAAGCTTTTTATTTACTTCCGATGAATCTTTTGTTGTTTTAACGACCGGTTTTTCCGTAAAGCTCGCTATAATTTTATTGACTTTTTCATCGGTACTGTTCCTTCTCAATGCCAATTCTGGATTCGTAAAAGCTACAACGGTTCGACCTGCTTATGAATATGGGGAAAAATAATGATTTTTTATAAAATAAAGTTCATTGATTACCATCATTGCTGTCGCTACTTATTTGCCTATCAGGAGATGCACCAGAATGTTCGCGGTTACAACTATATACACTAGACTCGTCGTCGTCCTCGTAATACTCGTCTTCAGAATTTCCATTTTGATTATCCGTACAGTCCATATCGGCGTCGTACTCCTCCTCTTCCATCTCCTCACCTTCATATTTATTGGACCAACTCGAGCAAGCTAATTGACACTCTGCTATTTTTTGCCTGGCATCTCTCAGATACGCGTAATAATTACTGTACAGACTCTCAGCCGCCATGCTAGTGGACAGTTTTATGCTTTTGTACATACTCACTTGCTGCTGCTGTTGGATGATGAATTTACCGTGTATATGTGTAAGAGAGTTGTTTGAAAATCTGCAGAAGAAATCAAAGTATTACCTGATGCGACGCATGGCTTTCTTGAATAAAGGACGGATTACGAGACAAGACAGGTGGTGAAGAAACAGCGACAGCTGCGGTGGCAAGGAGAACGGCCGGCGAGGGACCGGCACAACAGTTAGGCGCGAGGGACAAGAATTTATCGGCGCAGCGACCGAAAGGGTCAAGGTCATTCAACAATCTGCGCCTCTGCGACAACATAACGTGCGAACATGGCGCCAGTGCACCGAAGCAAAGTTCCAGCATCACATCTTCGCAATTGAGATCAACGAGGGTTTCGAATAATGCCAGCGTCACCAAAGTCAGCTAGTGTTGAAAGTACAAAAAAATTTCAAAGTGAGAGAAAACTGGTGCGACAAACTTTTAATCTTCGTATGTATTTTTACCGTACCCTCGACTGCTGAGATGACATTCTCTTGATAAGGTGGTCGAGAATTCGGTTGTCATCGTAATTTTCTTCCAGCAAAAATCTGATAAGGGACCGCAGGAGGCCGGGTTCGTCAACGTATCGTAGAAACAAATCGAAGTAAGCTGTCGCAGCTACCAATTCATCAACTGACGTCTGTAACCATGACCATTAATTTAGGTAAAAAAATAACTAAGGGGAAGGAAAGTTTAACAACTAAAGAGGATGAAATTACTGTGGGAACTAACTAAACATTCCATAGCTCACAAAAAATGTGTAATGAACGTGCATCCAGGGTTTCGAGTCAGTGCAAAGCTTATCTTGAGGGAGTCATCAAAACTTTAAAGCGCCAAACCGTCATATACCGTACAAAAATTAGTTTTAGCAGCAATGATGAGATTAAAAGCGACAATGCGAGATAAGAGCGGGCAGGAAACGTGCGTCTTTGGGTCATGCACAGAGAAAAATTGATACACACGTACGTCTGTACGTAAATACATGAGAACACAATGTAGATGCGAGAAATACAAACCCGATACATCGGCGAATCAAGCTCTTCCAAGGACAAGCCGATAGATTCCTTAAAACGATGCAAAAAATAATAATCAGTTGTGAATTGGGGCCAACACCGTGGTTCTTAAAAAGCTACCATCACCGTCACACTTTTGTTTTATTTATTTATTTATTTATTTTTTATTTTTTACCATAATGGATGAAACGTATTTTAATGTGGTGCTGAATGAATTAAAAAAATTTTGTTGATCTGATTCTTAAGGGTATCAAAAGTTTCACTCAAATGAAATGAAAAAACAATCCCAATTGATTCACCACGTGCATTATATGACATAAAGTAAATTCATCCACATTAAAACTTTAGCCTATAGTTTTTAGCAGCAAATATGGACGGGAAAACATTGACTTGAGCCTTTTTTACAGAATCCTTCACAACTCACTACCTAGAAAAGTACCTGTAGAAGCGCAGGTCCCATTACTGGTACGAGAAAACCCCGATACAAAAACTCCAAGAGTTGCTCTTGCACCAGGGGATGAACCACTTGAGCAACTGCATTACAGAATTCTAATGAATTCATTAGCTGAGACAGAGGTGGTATGTCATTGATATCATCCACCGTAAGCCTATGCCAGTCTTCACTTTCTATGTCAAGTGTTCTCGGTAGAGCAGAATACAACGCACTAAGTCCTGTAGCCAATACCTACATATGAAGAAACATTTTAGCTCACTGATCTGGTGTTGATTCACATGATCGCGAACTTACGGAACAAATGTGCGATTCCTCTGCAATGTAATTTCCAATTTCGTCATTCTTCTTTGAAAGTGACATACACAATAGCATGGCATCTCTAGCTTGTTGGCCAACGCCACCTTCTCTGTGTATATAGGGTACTAATAACGTAAATATAATAAATCTGAAAAAGAAAAATACCAATTTAAAATTAAAAAAAAAAAAAAAAACATCTTAAATAAAATATTTCAATGTAACTCTAAATTTTGTTTTATAATGAAACATATTAAGACTAAAAATAGAAATAGAAATTCTCGAAATTTACAGTTGGTTGTACTTGAGTATGCATTTTCCAAAACAGCAGATAAATAAAAATTTATCAAGCCTCACTTGAAAGTCATTTCAAAGTAAAATGTGTATTTCATGATTATACTTTTAAATATTGCCCTTGTTGGCTACTTGCCTATTTTTTCCTGTTGCCGTAGGTCTAAAAAACAATCTTAACAATTCGGTATTTTGAACTAGGGAAACACACATATGATTCAACAATACAACTAATTTCTTTTGTACTTCTATTGGCATAATATCTCCAGCGCACTCATCCAACAAACGTAACAATGGCCTTGTCACGGGCTCATGAGCCAAGAGAGAGCTATCGTGTGATATCAACAATTCATAAAGTTTCAACTGTTCTAATCGGACGGCATCTCCAAACCTGTAATCAATACACATGGTTTACAAAAATCACAAATACTAATTTTGGTCGAATAACTCTTACCTGCCAGTGTGGGTGCTCCATTCGTGCAACTTCTCCAATAGATTTTCACTTAACAAGTGTTCTAAGCAAGGAGAGCAGTGGGTGTTGATTTGAGCTGCCGATACAATGTCCCTTTGCTGCAATCTCAAATTCTGATGTCTCTGTTGAAGAGAGTAATCCCTCAGCTCCAGTAGCAACAGAGTCATCATATGGTCGACGTGATTAACTACTCCCAGGACATCATCGTGACTAGGTATACTTTTGGGGGGCTGAAATTAAAAAATAAACAAACTATTGCTTGTTACGAAAACAGATGACGTTCCATGGCACAGCCAGAAAAAAGAGTAAAGAAAACAACAACAACAACAACAACAACAACAACAATCAAAACACTCACGAGTGACTGACAGATGATGTCGTAGCTCTGCTGCCAGTGCTTACGAAAGCTGTCGTAACAGGCGACGGGATCAGCATCCTTGGGCGGCGAATCTCTCGAGCGCTGCTTGCTGAAACTGCTCCTGAGCGGGCTGCTCCGGAGCCAACTCATACTGCTACTGACCACCTGCTGTTATCCTTTCGTGGCATATATGCTCTTAAACGGAGTCTTGGTCGTCGCACCAGGAAAAAGAAGAAAAAACACCACACAAATACGAGTAGGTGTATGCTTTTATACACGGATAAACGTCGCCTGTTCTCTTTTTACGCTCGAGTGCGCTTTCCTTTTTGACAAACTCTCAAAACATTGCTTGCAGGTACCTACATAATACTAATGGAAGAACTTGGACCAACGTATATAGGTATGGTGTCCTCTGAGGGTATCGCAATCGCGTAGGAGCACAGTTTTTTCATGGTTTACACAAATAGAATGGGATAATTCTCTCTTGCGCTTACAAGAAATGTGCAAAACACGCACTTGCAGGTAGATGATAGTAGGTAAACTACTACTGTAGTACTCTCTTGCTACAGTTGCTACTGCTAGCTGTACTTAATTACAAATGTATGTAGTATGTGTACATACACAAAAAAAATATACGTACTTACGTACGACGTTATACGAGAGTTTACATTTACTTGCGGGTCTGATTCACCATCTTAGTCACTCACCGTCGAAGAATCATCAGCTATAGGTACTTAAGTAATTCAACTCTTGGTTCTTGCACTGTTGCACCGCAAGCTAGAATGGGCTTACCGACAAAGTTAGAGAATCAGTAGGTGCTGATAACTGACAGATTTGTCGACTGTTGGTCATCAAGTTAATCAACTTTCGATTCGAGCTTATCAAACAACAATTATCATTATGTTTCAACATTCTAAATCCAAAAAAATATTCTGTCAAGAGATAATTTATTTGCAAAAAGCCTCTGGCGTATTATTACACAATAATTGTTACAAAATACAGTTCTGATTGATCTTTTTTTTTTTTTTTTTTTTCATGAATACGAATAAAAAAATTTAAAAGAATGTTAATGTAAAAAATATTGTTATTCATGAAAAAAAATGTATTAAAATCGCAAGTCAAAAAACCTTGGACAATCAGTTTTTCTAGGTTGCTGCACTTAAAAAAAAATTTTTTTTTTCTTACATTTTTTCAACGGGTTTCAAACCCAGCAACGAAAAGCACTGTTCCAACATCATTGCCGTCACCTCTGTTAGCAGTATTCGCCCCATATTTACTTTAACGATTTCTCCTGCTTGATTCTTTTCTACGCAGTAGCAGTTATCATAGAATTCAGAGAACGTACAAGCGACCTCGTAGCAGAAATCACAGAGATTGTGGAGGGACAGATCCTTGGTGACTTTCATGATGACATCGGGAAACCTGAGCAGCACCTTAGCGAGCTTCCACTCCTTTTCGTGGTCCAGCGAAATTGGAGTGCTTTCGATCGCCTGTTTGACCTGTTCGCGCGATACGTTGGCCATTCTGGCGATCGATCGGATCCTAGTCAATGCGTACAACAGGTAGACCGCCGTGTTTCCCTTGTCCGACAGCATTCTGTCGAACGAGAATATGTACTCCTTGTTTCGATCATGGCAGAGATCGGCATACTTGATGCAGCCGTAAGCCACCGATTCTTTAGCTCGATTGAACTCTTCCTCCGTCAGCACTTTTTCGCGTTCCTTTTCTTTGAGTTTCTCTTCCGCTCGTTTCAAACCTGAGAGGAAAATAAAATATTACACGTTTGTAAAAAAACTATTTTTCAACCAGCATTACCTTCATCAAGCAATTCACTGAGTTTAACGGTGTCTCCGGAGCGAGTTTTAAATTTTTTCTTATCCTCTCCAAGAACCACGCCGAAACCTACGAAATCCATCTTGTGAAAGCTCAAAAGGATTCTGGCTCTTTTCGCACAACTCTCAATTGTTTGGAAATGAACGGCTTGCCCAGAATCTACAACGTATATCAACCATTCGCCTTTTTCCTCGAAGATGCGGTGTCTAATAGCGGCCATATCCGACGTATCATAGGTAAAACCACCGTCGCGCTTCACAATAGTCAATGGGATTCCATCTTTCGTTTGTCCCCACATGATTTTACGCCCCTCGTCTTCTTCCAGGAAACCCTCTTCTTCTAATACTTTGACTATGTCTTCCATGTGTTTCTGGTAGAATGATTCGCCCCTCTCGACCAATTGGATGTCCAGGCGATTATATATACTTTGAAACTCTATGAATAGGAATGTTTAGGATTAAGATTTTTTACAGAAATTTATTGAGCATATTTATCGATGATTTCATACCTTTCCTCGATACATCGCAAATTAACTTCCAGGCTTGCATGATTTTGGGATCGTGAGCTTGTAATTTTACTACGTTTGCATATGCCCTCTTTTTAAATTCTTCATCAGTATCAAACAATAGTTTTGACTCCTTGTAAAATGCCTGTGGAGTTAATTTTTTTCGTTATAGGTTCTAATGACGTTTTTAATGTAAACGAATTAAAAAAAAAAAAAAAAAAAAAGACCTGGAGATCTGAAATAGGTGGCGATTCTGTACAATAATTGGGGAATTGATCTTCAAGATGAGTAATCAACATTCCAAATTGCGTTCCCCAGTCTCCAACGTGATTCAACCTTAATACATCGTGACCAAGATACTCCAACAACCTGGCAATACTATCGCCAATTATAGTTGACCTCAAGTGGCCAACATGCATTTCTTTGGCAACATTTGGGCTAGAGAAATCAATAATAACTTTGCGCTTTCTAATCAAGGGAGCAACAGAAACTTTTTCACTTTTCAATACATTTCTGAAAACATTTTGTCCAAATTCACGTTTCAGGTAAATGTTTATGAAACCATTAACAGCAACATCTAATTTATCGATCATGCTGGATGATGCAACTTTGGCTGCAATTTTTTCAGCAATGTCTTTAGGACTAATCTTCTTCTTTTCTAAAAATTGATATAAAAATAAAGTCAATTTTTGTTTTTGTTCTAAAAATAAAATATATTACACCTAAAATAATATTTACCTGTAGTTTTATCAACTGTTGAGAGTAATTTACAAATAGGAAGAGCACTGTTGCACTGGTAATCGCCAAATTTTGGGTTGTTACTCATCGAAATGTCAACTGGTGGATCAGTCAGATCTGGGAACACCTCGCTGATGGCTTTTTCAAATAAAGAGGACAGTGTATTTTGAATACTAATCATACTGCTGCAGTTGGACATGTCAGTGGTGAGTGCAATATGTTTGGCCTTGAATTCACACAGAGTCTACAAATAAAATATTTCCTATTGTTCATAATGTAGAGTAGTTAATTTCATGGATACCAAACAATATGATAAACAAGTAAAACTCGAGATATTTACTTTTTTCAGGATTTCTATCCTATACTTGAGCTTTTCGTTTTCTTTCTTCAATTTCTCAAAATCAGCCTGGCTTACAGTTTGACCATCGTCTTCATTATTCCCTTGGATGTTTCCACATTTTAAAAGAGCGTATAGTGAATTGAGCTCCTTTTTAAGACCATTTATTACGTCTTCCTACAGAATTAAAAAAAAAAATCTATTATCACTCGTGACTTTACATTGTTGATAATGTCCATAACCTATATTCGTGAGATATCAATGTCGGTAACGTATTTCAATTGATAAATATTCCCACGTTGGAAGAAAATAAGTGAAAAATAATCGTACCGCAAGTGATGCTCGCTGTTCAAATAGATCAAGCTCGTTGAACGACATTTTTCATCTACTAAACTGATTTGAAATGTACTCAATCGTACACACATGCACGTGTCTATAATCGGCTCGTATATATCTCTATCTCTGCTGCTCTGCTCTCTCGTCTTTCGTCTGCTACTTATCTGAGAATTTTTCCGGTAATTCGATTCTTTAGTATTGTGTTATACCCTACTTCATATAAAATGTTGCCGATAAAAATGAAATATTTAATAAAGTTCTTAAAATTTCATGTATCACATGTTTTGTGGCATTAACAATTTTAATTAAACACGTTATAAGACTTGTAAATATTTTGTAAACTTGGGGTAAATTAATCGATCCATTTTTAATATGGAATATTCCGTGTGTGTATACCTATATCTAAAAATCCTGCATCAATTTAATTTCGATCAAATGTGGTAAATATAAATAAAAATACAACGCGAGCTTCTTCATAAATATGTGTATTTAAAGTTTATGTTGAAATTATGGATTTTAATTAACAATGTTTTTTTTTTAACATGTACTTACTATTAATGTTAACGAAAAAGAAAATGTAAGTCTTTTTCAAACGCGATATTGAGTAGCTGCCGAAAGTGGCACATTGAGTCATTGAGTGTGTTGTAAATGGTTGAAAACTCTCATTCCAATATGTTGGCGGAAAATGATAATTATTATTTAGAACAACAAAACAACATTAGTGAATCAAACAAATGTTTTTATTGTTGTTATAAGTTGTGAGGCATACCTTTGGCTCTGTTGCAAGACCAAAAAGTAGTAGCTATCATACCGATTTCATATACTTAATACACTTATCGGTATTTAAGTCTTATGAGGCAGCTGCAATTAAAATGCAGGTATGTGGCGTCCCAAGCCAAACCGCCAGAGATGAGTTGATGAGTGAGTGGCGGCTGTTTCGGCGTTTGTACGGGGGGTGTCCTAGCTTGGCGGTCAATTTTTGGCTTGTCTAATTTTGACGCCAATGTCACTTGCTTGAATCAACTTTTTATCCTCTATCCATTGGACCAGGTGGCGGCTATTTTGCCGTTTGACACCCTGGGACTTTTTTCAAAACAATCTAACTCGTTATCAACAATAGATATCGCAAAAACACTTCGGATCTCCACGAATCATGAGTTTTCCCAATATTTGACAAATTGACGACGATTTCGCAATTTACCCATGCACCCATCTGACCCCCAGCCAGCTCTTAGCTGCACAACTGGTTCTGTGTATTATACATAGGTATATTTTTGCTAAGAGAACCAGAAGACTGGCCGAACCAAAAGGGGTTTGAACAAATCTTATATAAGGTTCGTTTTGGTTCTAGTTTGGTTCTAGAACCGACCGACTCGGAATTTTGGTTCTGCGGAATCAACTCTCGTGAACGCGTGTTTTTTTTACGTTTTTTTTTTGGTCCCAAAACTGACCACACCAAACCGAACCGAACCGAACCAAAGGGGGGTTTGAACGAACCTTATCAGTTTCGGACTGAAAGCAGACTGAAAGTTGAAGAGACACTTACGTCTATACTTACGTTTACGTGTGTACACATAGCGTTAAAGTTATAGAAAATTTAATTAAAGTGTTTTTTAATCCCATCAGTAGACCGTGGTAGTGGAGCCGGATATTGCGATGATATGGTCTGTCTAGGAACTACCTAGAGCTAGGTCGATTAGGACAGTCTAGGACAAGGATGGCTGTCCCGTCAACAACTTTGTCAACGCGAAACAAAAAGCATTTTCTTGGCGTACCAGCTCCTTTGGGATATGTCGCTGGTGTTGGCAGAGGGTAAAAGCATGAAATTTAATTTTTAATTCAGAACTGATGTGTAAACACAACGTCTCTTCTGTTCTAACCTTAATTTATTTATTGAATTTGTTTTCTCTTTTCTAGGGCAACAGGATTTACCACTCGTTCTGATATCGGACCTGCCCGAGACGCCAATGACGTATCGTTAGTACCCATCCACATCAATTTCATTCTATTTTTTTCCACTCAGCGTATAAAATAAGTTATGATTAGCTATGCACTAAGTAAGCTCTTCTTTTATTTCAGTGATGACAGGCATGCCCCACCAATAAAACGGGCTAAGAAGAAAGAAGAGGAAGAAGAAGACGAAGAAGATCTCAATGACTCTAATTATGACGAATTTTCTGGCTATGGAGGATCATTGTTTAGCAAAGTAACATTTATTGTTTAATGTAGTATTTGTTGTATTTATATTCCTCTGTCTATTTTTTGTGCGAAATCTGCAACTTGCAAAAAAAACTTGACTTGACACAAGGTTTATGAAATAAATGTGCAGTATCTGATTTTTCGATAAAAATCTGATGTTTTAAACAGTTAACTATTGTACTGCTATAACTTTAAAACATAAATTAGCCTGTCTGCTACTACAAAAAGAGTGTTTACACTAATAAAATAGTGATCTTTCAAAACACATGTTTCCATTCAGGTGAAAATGATAATTGTTATTGTATAATTTTAGGATCCATATGATAAAGATGATGAAGAAGCTGATGCCATATATGAGGCAATAGACAAACGAATGGATGAAAAGCGCAAGGATTACAGAGAAAGAAGGTTGCGTGAAGAATTGGAAAGATACCGACAAGAGAGGCCAAAAATTCAGCAGCAATTTTCTGATCTTAAGCGAGAGTTAACAAATGTTTCTGAAAATGATTGGAAAAATATTCCAGAAGTAGGAGATGCCAGGAACAGAAAACAAAGAAATCCAAGAGCAGAAAAATTTACTCCTTTACCCGATTCTGTACTAGCACGCAATTTAGGTGGCGAGAGTGCAACTAGCATTAATCCATCAAGTGGTCTTGCATCGATGCTGCCTGGGGTAACCACCCCTGGAATGCTGACACCCACAGGAGACTTGGATTTAAGAAAAATTGGACAAGCAAGAAATAATTTGATGAATGTTAAATTGAGTCAGGTCTCAGACTCTGTTAGTGGTCAAACTGTTGTAGATCCCAAAGGATACCTCACTGATCTGCAAAGTATGATCCCTTCTTACGGTGGAGATATCAAGTAAGAAAGATTTATTAACCATATATGAATTTTAACATCTAATTATCTTTACTTTGAATGTTTGAAGTAAAACGTGATATTTCAACAATTATAAATATATTTCTTTTCATGCTCATTTTTTCTTGCTACAGTGACATCAAAAAAGCAAGGTTGCTTCTCAAATCTGTCAGAGAAACAAATCCGAATCATCCACCAGCTTGGATTGCATCAGCTAGATTGGAAGAAGTAGTTGGTAAAGTACAAGCTGCAAGGAACTTGATCATGAAAGGTTGTGAAGTAAATCCGTCATCGGAAGATTTGTGGCTTGAAGCGGCCAGGTTACAGCCACCTGACACTGCAAAGGTAGTCATTGCTCAAGCTGTGAGACACATTGCAACTTCTGTAAGAATATGGATTAAAGCAGCAGACCTAGAAACAGAATTAAAAGCTAAAAAAAAAGTGTACCGCAAAGCCTTAGAACACATTCCTAATTCAGTGCGTTTGTGGAAAGCAATTGTAGAGTTGGAGGATCCCGAAGAGGCTCGTATACTTTTAAGCCGTGCTGTTGAATGTTGTCCCACAAACGTTGACTTGTGGTTAGCTCTTGCTAGACTCGAGACTTATGATAATGCGAGAAAAGTACTAAACAAAGCCAGAGAAAACATACCTACCGATCGTCAAATTTGGACAACTGCTGCCAAATTGGAAGAAGCTAATGGAAATAAGAGTATGGTTGAGAAAATGATAGACAGGGCTATCTCTTCGCTAAGTGCTAATGGAGTTGAAATAAATAGAGAGCACTGGTTTAAGGAAGCAATGGAAGCTGAAAAGGCAGGGGCCGTTCACACGTGTGAAGTCATTATCAAATCAATCATCGGACATGGAGTTGAAAAAGAAGACAGGAAACACATGTGGATGGAAGATGCCGATACTGTAAATATTTTTCTTTTTTTTATCAGACTAGACTATCTAGTATTTATTAAAAAATCAAGCACAATTGAACTAGCTCGTATTTGTTTTCCACAGATACTAATTATTAGTTAGTAAGAAAGCTACCAGTTTTTTTCTAAACTTGTAAATGTCCTGAAAAATTTTCAAAATAAGCTCTTTGAAACATCTTGTGCATATATAAGATTATATATAATATAATAAATCAAGAAAATAGAATCATTTTTAAAACGAGTTACAAATTTTATTAACTCTTAATTGCAGTGTGCTCAACAAGGTGCCCTTGTATGCGCAAAAGCAGTCTATGCCTATGCATTGAATGTATTTCCAAGCAAAAAATCAATTTGGCTACGGGCAGCGTATTTTGAAAAAAGTTATGGAACAAGGGAGTCCTTGGAAAGCTTGTTGCAAAGAGCTGTCTTTCACTGTCCAAAGAGTGAAGTCTTGTGGCTCATGGGGGCTAAATCGAAGTGGCAAGCTGTGAGAATAATTTTCATTATCATTGACTACTTTAATAAAATACTTTGAAACTCTAATTTATGTAATTGTAATGACTTTTTAGGGTGATGTGCCAGCTGCTAGGGGTATTCTATCCCTGGCCTTCCAAGCTAATCCTAACTCTGAGGACATTTGGCTGGCTGCTGTCAAACTTGAGTCTGAAAATTTTGAAAATGAAAGAGCAAGACGTTTACTGGCCAAAGCTAGAGCATCTGCTCCTACTCCAAGAGTCATGATGAAAAGTGCTAAACTAGAATGGGCCCTAGATAATTTTAATGAAGCCTTGCAATTACTTGATGAAGCTCTAGAAAATTTCGATGACTTTCCAAAACTATGGATGATGAAGGGTCAAATTGAAGAACAACAAGGACATTTGGATAAAGCTATAGATACATATAACCAAGGGGTAAGTCAAAACGGAATGATTGTATTCTTAAATTTTAATGTCGATTAAAAGTTTTAAAGGTATTATTACGTTCTCGTACATCTCCAAAATAAAAAATCTATGTGTAAACTATAATCTAAAATTTTATTCAATATAACAATTTACTTTTAGCTAAAGAAATGCCCTACATCAATACCACTGTGGCGATTATTAGCTCATTTAGAAATCAAAAGAAATCAGTATACGAAAGCTCGTTCAGTGTTGGAAAAAGCGCGTCTGCGAAATCCTAAAAATGCTGAAATTTGGTTGGAAGCAGTTAGAAACGAAATAAAATCTGTTAAAAATAGGGACATGGCGAATAGTTTGATAGCAAAAGCTCTTCAAGAATGTCCGAACTCCGGCTTGTTATGGGCTGAAGCTATTTTTATGGAGCCACGACCTCAGAGAAGAACGAAGAGCATTGATGCTTTGAAAAAATGTGAACATGATCCCCATGTACTACTCGCAATTTCAAAGTAAGTATAAAATTGAAATTTTTATAATTCTTAACATCGGTAATAAAAACTGTTTTTTTCATAGACAATAATTGAGTACAACTGTATGAATATAATCGTTATAGAAATCTTGTTGGTCATTTATTCATTTATTTATTTAGATATATCGTCTGGTAATTTATTTATTTACATTTAAACGGGAGAGACTCAAAACGAAATAAACAGTAAATAACGTATTTAAAGTAAGAAAAGCTCATATTCAGATTTTATGCACATTGTGAAAGAAATGATTAGCTAAGAAGATGCAAATTAAAATTACATGTAGCTACGTAGCTACAATAATATAATTGATATAAAACTAAATGATAAATAAACAATTGAAAGATGATATTTGATAACTATTGAAAACAAAATTAAATCTGCAACCTGTTTTATTATATAAAAGTTGTACTTTTTTTGCGCAAGGTTCTTACATGAAATTTATCTCGCTTCTTTTGTTATTCAATTAATTACAATTACTAATGTTTTTTCAACTTATTAGGATGATGTGGTGCGATCCCAACAAAGTTAACAAATGTAGAGAATGGTTCAACAAGACAATCAAAATTGATTCTGACTTTGGTGATGCATGGGCATATTTTTACAAGTTTGAACTACTAAATGGGACTACAGATAATCAAGAGGAAACTAAAAAAAGATGTATTGCAGCTGAACCTCATCACGGTGAAAATTGGTGTAAAGTATCCAAAAATATTGCAAACTGGCGCCTTAGTATTGGCGAAATCTTGGAATTAGTTGCTAAAGACTTACCTGTTCCCATATAGAATATTTTCAGTTTGTCAATACTTCAAAATTTTGTATATATTCTTTAAACTGCTTGGAATAAAAAAAAATGCAACTAAAAAATTTTGTTTTGAATTCCATACAGTTGTGATCACATGGTAAGCTGTAAAAAAAGTTATCAAAAAATGTCATAATGCTGAAGAGTATCGTATGTTCCTTATGCTGTAAAATAGTTGTTGGCCTTGTTTATTTGTACTTTCTTACGTTATAAAATATGAAAAGAGCTGTTTGTTGAAGCTGTAACGATTCAAAGCTGATAAAAACAATGGGTCGCGGGGCCCATGGAAAAAACGAAGCTTCGATAAAGTTTTTATAAAGAAACTACTCTTGTAAATTTATTTATTTATTTATTTATTTAGTAAAATTTACGAGACCAAATAATAATGTAAAGTTAAGGCGAGAGATCAATATAATAAGTGCTCTGATGGACAGTGCTCGGGTAACACAAACGAATAAGTCGCACAAAACAGTCAACATATACTCGTACACACTACAACAAGGCACCATAAAACGCCATTTCAAATAAAAAAATGAAAATTGAAAATTAAAAATTAACACAACGTAATTAATTACTGCTATGGGCCGTTACATGAGTTTGAGAATAAGTGGGACCATATATGATTTAAACCGGTTAACATTATCGAACTCATGTAAGTCATAATCTAAAGACGCCATATAGTTTCATACTCTTCTCAGTCTTTTAGTAGGTGTAAAAAACGAAAAATTATTAACATAGGTACGCTAAACGACCGGCGCATAGTGTCGCAAATTATATGGGATTGATCTAGCAACGAAGAGACTAGTAAGATTAATAAGGTCGTGTGCAATTTTACAAATAAAACAACAGTCAATGAGGTCATGACCAGACTTTACAGAACAAATATTCAACATTGACGCAATAGCAGTGTAGGTAGTCATGACTCAGATACGACATAAGTCTACGTAACTTATATGACATGAATCTTAAAAAACTATGATTGACTCTTTCCAAAATTTCTACACGATTTTGGTAATGGGGGGTCCATACGACCGAACAATAATTTATAATAGGCAGCACCACCGTTCTGTATAAATAAATCAGCGTCCTGGGGTCCCTAAAGTCGGACGTATTTCTTATCAAGAAACCCAAACTGTTGTGAGCCCTAGACCGCATAGACGTGACCTTAACCAAGTGCTCGTCAAAAGAGAGCTTGTCATTCAGGATTACGCCCAGATCGCTGATAGATTCCACAGTATTTATAAAGCTACCATTAAAGTTGTAATCGTATATAAATGGGTCTCTATGTTTACAAAATCTAACAATATGGCACTTGCGTATATTCAACGGCAAATTATTAATTAAAGCCTAAATTATATAATTTTTGTCAATTTAACATTATTTTATTCAAAAAATACAAAGTTTATTAATTCTCATGTATTATTTTATATTTATAAAAGTTTATTGCGCGTACTTGTGCCGTTTTATTTTATGTTCTTTCAGATTTTGGCGCCGTTTAGAAACGTCACGTTTACACATATTCGGAATATGATATTCCCGATTCCCGATCAGAAATTTCAACTACACACCTGAAAAATGGATGACAGAAAGACAGAATTCCATGTGTAATTACACTTCGGGAAAGCCATACGGCATTTCATGTGGTGATACATATGGCCTTACACAAGAGGTGTTGGATTGGTGATGCCATATGTCATGCAGTATGGAAAAACCACATAGAATTACAAATTAAAAAAAAAAAAAAAAAATTTCATTTAGAAATAACTGCAGAATAGTCTTATCTACCATACTTTTAAGTTTTAAGTAGTTTTGTTATTATTTGCATTGACAGGGCAACGTCCTGAAGGAATGTTTTAATTTGTTTTTTTTGTAGGTAATTAAGTATATTATAGATACGTTGAGAATAAAATGGATAAGCATAGCAGAATACTAACCTAATAAGTGATTTTTAAAGGGATTTTAATCATTGTAATGCTTTACTCAATCCGTAAAAAGTATTACAACATTGTAACGTTGCACAATTACTCCCTAAATAGTTTGGTATACCAGTCCTGTAAGTTTTGTTGACACGTATTATTTCTATCATAATTTTTAATGCTAATTCAGCAGCCATCCCATAAGACGATTTTAAAAAATCATCAAAAAAATATCGGTGTTTCCGATACATCGATATATATTTTGCCCATTTTTCGGACGAGCACGCACGCCACGCACGAAACCCTCCACACTTCACAATGTCCACAAGTCCACAGCAGACAGCACACACGCTGTAGATGCTGTATGTAAAAAATAGTTTGTAGGTAAATAAAGAAGTGCAAATACAAAAAAGTTTGTTTACTTTTTGCATTAACCTAACCTAACGTGTACAACTGCGCATCGTGTACGGTCAGGGACGATCGGGGACGATCGGAGACATCGGAGAAGACTGAAGAGCACTTGTTCACTTTCGTCTCCGACTCGCCCAGACTGTCCCTGACCGTCCCTGGATTGTAAGGTGAACAAATCTAATGTCTTACTGAGTGCATACCATGCCCTGTGTGCTCCGGCTAACATCCAAACAACTGTTCGATCTTTCCATGCCAGTTAAAGCTAATAAACCTAAGAATTGTAACTTGCATATGCTCATTTCTTGACCTGACCAAACCTCCGGCCGTCCTCGAGGTCGGGAAAGTTCACCGAGCTCACGCCGTCAGTTTCCCATAGGTCTGAAATAAAAAAATATTACACTACCTCCTCTTATACCCACGTTTCTTTGTTTTGACGCGTCAATTTGACAGATGCCGTGGTGCGGAGGCTTCAATTTTAATTTGCTTTTATTTTTCTCTATTGCTACGTGTCTGAGACATGTCAGTATTAGCAACAAATTCAGCTAGTGCATCCAAAAATAGTGAAGACGCTTAGTGAGTTAATGATGAGTTATTTAGTGTTTTAGAGAACATTTTCTTTTATCACAAGCAAAGTTACAAGTTGCATTGATGCACATGTGTATAAATATAGTGTACAATGTAAATAGAAAAGTGGATAACGGGTCAAGCGCATCCATTTACCGTTACCCTCACTTTCTCTTTAGGGCTACGAACTGTGATTATAACTTTTTTATCTTCTGTTGCTTGCTTTCTTTGTTTAGAATCGCCAGTTGAATTTTAATTAGCCCTACGCACGACTTGTGACAATGAATTTGGTGAAGTTGAGTTTTTTATTCAATGCGCTTAGCGTCGGCTTCGTCGGGATGCTCATCAATTTATTTGAAAGCTACATACCGGCTTTCGTCTCAAAGATCTTTCGACACGGAAAATTTTCCGCCGACGTCAAAGATGCTTTTCTTGATATGTGCGAAGTTCCTAAGAGGTAAATTGCAAGTTGTATATATTTTTTGTAAAAAAAAACTCCATGACGAGCACGTATTCAAAATTTTTCCACGTTTACAGGTGGATGCAGCATTTTTATATCTTAGCTGCACCACTGAGCACTTTTTCTCTGAGCTTGTTGATTTATAGATATTTTTTAGGAAACAAGTTGCCAAAACTTTTCAACGATTACTTTGGCTGTATGATTGGTACTTCTACACCAGCATTAAGTGAATGAAAATAATTTACATAAATCGTAATATTTTCTCAATTGGGATATTTTGTTGATTAAATTTTTTATTTCTAGTCCCTCCAGAAAATGTGATTTTAGCAATTACTCTTCTTTCAATGCATTGCTGGAAGAGATTTTATGAATGCTATTTTCTAAGCGTTTTCAGTGATGTGAAAATGAGTTTTGTCATTTATTTGGTGGGTCATTGTCATTACATAGGAGCAGTTACCAGTATTGTTGGAGAATCTAGACAACTTCTCACAGGTTTATGATTTTTTCAACAAGGTGATTGTCACTTCGTCAAAATTCATAAACACTAATCTGTCTGTTGATTTTAAGATACCAAAGTTTTATTAAACTGGACTAAGCTGACCTACTTGGAAATTTTGTGTTCAATTGTATTTCTAATATCAACATATTTACAGTACAAGTCTAACTTAATCTTAGCAAGTTTGAGAAAAGATAAAAAAGGAAACGTTGTTACGAAAAAACATAAAATTCCGAAAGGAGAACTTTTCGAATATGTAACGTCACCGTTACAGTTTACTGAAATCTGTTTGTATGTATGTTTGAGTATTATTCTAAAAGCAGGATCTACATTTCACTTTGTCACTCTTTGGGTAATAATTAACCAGGTAAAAAATGATTTAGTCGCATTTATTTATAAAGTTTTTCATAAAAAATAACAATTGATTTTTTTTGTTTGACAGGTGGAATGTGCATATTTATCTCATGTCTGGTATTCCAGTACGTTTGAGAATTATCCCAAGTCTCGGAAAATAATATTACCATTTATTTTTTAAGTCTGGAACTATGACTTTTTTAATACCGTTTATGACATTTAGGTCGATAGTGATAAAGTTTCTATTTTTCTAGATTTTGCGTATTATAGTTATTTCGTGTTCACCCCTCACTTAATTTGTCTAGTCGAGTCTACACAAAAAATAAATCTCTTGCGAATAAAATACAATACAGCGGCGCTAAATTCGGATAAATTTTTCTTCATTCAAAGATTACAAACAGATTATTAATATATTATTAAAATGGTACTGTTGAAATAAACTCCATAAGAATATCTCAAAAAAAATTTTATATATCCACACTATCAACCATTCTCTGGTCATGAATTTACAATGCTAGCACAAAAAGACATTGCGGAATTCTTATTGCAACTTAGTTATAAATTACTTTTCTTTACAAAATAGTATTAAAATACAAGCAAGTATAACAATAAGATTCTTAGTAGATGATGAAGTCATGAAGTCCGGTATAATTATGATCTTTCTTTACCTGAAAGTACACAACCATTTACACAACATCAGTTGACTACATCATTAGTGTTTGGGCTGAGATGGAAAATTACTGAAATAATGACTGCCAGTTGAAAATACTGAAAAAAAAATAGATTTAGTTATGAATAGTACTGCAGTGGTCAATTTTAAAATTGATGCAATACTATCATTGAAAATTAAGATTTAAAATAATTGGCGACATTCATGAAAAATATCAGTAATTATTTTATAAATATATATAAAAAATTTTTTAAACAACGTTTTTGAACGTTGGATTCAATTATTACAGTAACTTACATATACGGATATCCTTGAGCTTTACTTCTGAATATGGAAAGAATCAGACTGAAAAATACAAGAACTAGAATTGCTCCAATTGTGGTAAATGTTCTTCGTTTTTTCACGTCACCTTTGCGCGAAGCTGCTTCAGTCATGAGAATCATGCCTAAGACAACTGCTCCATCTGTTTTCATTTCGTGTTAAGGAAATTTCTTTTTGAATTATACCTTCAATTTATTTATATTTCATTTTCAAAGGATACTTAAAATCAAAATGATATAAGTCTCTAAAACAAATTGGCCTTGTGAAGATCCATGGATGTATATAGAATTACCATTAGGTGATTTATACATATATGGTGGACTTCTGATGTGATTCCACATTTGACCAGAAATCATTGTAAGGGTAAAGAACTGAAAGTTTATAGTCAGCTGTACTGTTTGTAAAAAACTTTTTATCAGCGTCAAAAAGCGACAACTCACCAGAGCTGCAAGACCCCATAAAGTTTTGTTATAAATAAAATCAAGGTTATTGCGCCTCAGGTACAAGAAACCTCCAATAAGAACGAGAAGCATAACAACAGCAACTGTGCCAGAATAGCTTGGTGGTCTGAATACACGGATCTAGAAGCACCGGACCCACAAGTTAATTTTTTAATCTAATGAATAAATACGAATGTAGATTTATTATTACCTGAATATCGGTACGCTCAAAGACCCATTTAGAAATAACTTCAGCTGCTAATCCTACTCTCTGAATGTCCATAGTGTCAGCTGGCTTGGGTTTGCCCTTTGGTGGGAAGTGAACGTACACTGGTGCAGAATTTAATTTTAGCTAAAAAGACAAAATTATTCCATGGAAAATCCAAATTGCTAAGGTGATAATAAAAAAAGGCAGCATATAGGGGCCACACAAAACCATGTATCCATGTCTCATGCAGGATAAACGATTACAGTTGATCCTTACACTGCACTGCTATAAAGAATTAAATTATAGCTACCATTTGGAAAACCTCAGGACTCTCATCATAGTCAACAGAAGCAAAGAACAGCTTGTTCGAGTATGACTGAGAATGGGGAAAGGAGTTGGCCAATATTGTAAACTCATAGCTTGCATGCCTGAAAATAATATGCAAGTAGAATTGATTGCTGAATTATTTAGCATTGGGTTTGCAATTAAAAAAGATGGTTGTCATACACGCAAATTTGACAAAGCTTTGCAGGAGCTGTAAACAGCACTATGACAGAATAATTTCTAGGCGTTGCTCTGATGTATTCCTTAAATTTGGCTGTATTGAACTTAAGAAGCGGTCTTTTCATCGACATCTCTGTAAGCTGCTTCACACGATCCGGCAACGGAGAGCTCTGCAATGAAAATAATAAAAGTTTCAAGGTTAAGATAAATGTTTACACCAATGAATGACATGAAGCTGGAAATTCTGGCAATATAATTGTGGCCTACTTACTGCCAGATTTTAGCAAGGGGCAAAATAAAGAATGAAAAATCTCTGACGTGTCAGGCGATAAGAACCAGCATAGCGCTAGGAATTAAATAGAAAAAACAAGCACGAACTCACGTTTTTAGATCTGTATTGGCAAGTGACAAAGCTCAGCGACACGGAAATCGCTACGAGCAAGGCCAGGATTAATTTTCCTGACATTTTCAACATATTTTTCTTCCCGATCCGGGACGACAACACGGCACACAACTCGAGAGATAAACACACCGATCCACGAGTCCACGACCTCTTCACTGCAGGCTTTTAGCTTTTACTCTCTCTGAAATCTGACCAATGAGCACCTTGCCGCGTGGATGTTTTCTGCTGCTCGTGTACCCCGGGCATTTTGATTTTTTGATAAGATAAGAGTTGTGCTTGTCAATATTTAAAAAAAATTGCTAAATAAGTAGAAATATTAAAGTATCACAACAATAACAATTAATTTATCTCTTGTTTGTTCTATACTCTTACAGAGATGTGGTAATTATAGCAGTGCCATATAGTATACTTTATAAGCCAGCCGCAACTAAGTCCAATGGATAGAAAATAAAAAGTTGTCAACGGAAAGTAATTTGCTGTAGAATTTGTCTTCTGAGTACCCGAAAATTGGCCTCCAAAAATATAAGGTTCGTTCAAACCCCTTTTGGTTCGGTTCGGTTCTCTTAGCAAAGTATACCTATATATAACGAACCAAACATCAGAACTGGTTCTGTATATATAGGTACATTTTGTTGAGGCTTTTGAACAAATCTACAGATATTCTAATTTTATCTATATATCTATAATCGTATCTACAATGCCTTATCTAGTATCTTAGATGAGTATTATAGATACGATCAGCGTTAGATGAGCGGCGTGGAAAGGTCATTTTCCCCCACCTTTGTTGAATCTGAAAATGGTCGAAACTTGGATTTTGCATATAAATTATTGTAAAAAAAACCAATTGGCAAAGTTGTGGCTTCGTTTTGCTTTTTTGTAAGCGGCCCATTTTTTTGAAGTTCGATTTTCGAATAGAAGATACATTTTCCGCCCTCGGGTGGTTTTGGGAGGCTGGTACTTCCTCGGGCAAAAAAGCAGTTTTCCGGAACTCGTTCGAAAAGTCTCGATTCGCAAACAAAGACTTTTCAAACTCGTAGGAAAACTACCATTTCATCTTGCCGCAAATGACTTTTCTCGATAACAACTTTATATTTTATAACCATTGGCTAAGTTGCGGCTGATTCATTAAATAGACTATATGGCACTACTACAATTACCACATAACTCTTTACCAGAATAAAATATGACAAATTTATTCTTCTCTATACCCATGTTATGAAATATTACAATTGTGTCACGAGTGGCGGCTGATTTAGATTTTTGACCACCCTTGGCACCCTCACCTCTTGGTCTATATAATATGATACCGGCTCCGGCAACGGCGGTGACGGAAAAATAACTCCCCAACCCCCTATACGACCCCTACCACTAGGCCCCTATATGCAATTGGCGGGAGACGTCGTTCTGCTTCTGCACAATCTGCAGGAGTCCTGCAGCAGGAGTATACCTATACATATAGAGTATATACAGTGCAGGACTTTCAGGACCTGACGACAAGAACACATAATATACCTATATGTAATATATAGGGGGGGCAACGGACGGGGGTATAGTTAGTTGGGCCAATGCCAGCGATTATTGGGCCCCTACCGTGTTTTCTTCTACCAACGTGCCAACTTGCGCAACGGTTAAAATCCAAAAAGTCCTTTGAGGGGTAGGAGAGGCTGCGGAGAGAGGGGAAACGAAAAGGTGCACGAATGCACATCATGATCATAGTCGGAGAAGTCGGAATCGGAAGTCGGGAAGAGTGACTGTACCTTATACTAGTGTGTACTGTACACATGCAGCAATAAGTTAGTTGCGCTCAACGTTTTTTAGCGTGAACATGTCGTCGTTGTCGTTGTCGTTGTCGTTGTCGTTGTCGCCGTCATCGTCGAGGTACTGCTTAATTAATGGCAGATTTGTTGTTATCGCTTGTTGATTTGTTGATCAGGGGAATTTTTACATTTTTACTTTGATTTGTACACCTCGAATTTGGGCGCGCGTTTGTTGATTGATATTCTCTCATGTTTTGTTTTTCAAAGAATATAAGAACGAACGTGAAACAATTATAATATTAAAGGTTATTTTTTCAAAAGATTTGAATCCAGCAGCAGTTGAATTGCTTGAAATAAAAATACTGAAGCAAGTAAGCTTAGAAGTTTCTCAAGCGATACATTGTATAAATATTACAAAGTTGCACCAGAAGTAAGCGTCCGTTATTTAAACATCCTATCACGAGGATTGTCCTAAAGTTAAAAACATACTGTCATCTGGCAGAAAATGTCTTTTTCCAAGGCAAGGATTCAGCGATTCAACGAGCTTCCAAGTGAGTACTCATATCATTGGAAACTTTTAAATAGCGCGATAGGAAATACCATATAGTAACAATCAAATAACAAGAATTTAAACACAAAAAAATCATACGAAAGATAGCAGAAAACACACGCGAAATAAGTATATGTGTAAACGCGGCGCGCGTAAACAGGTCTCACGACGACGGTGCCTTTTTAAATTCGAGAAAGAAGAAATCCGCATGCTACGGGGGTACATTTCTGTGTGCCGGCAATTTTTACACACACACATATGTAATAATTTCAAGGGGTGTCGCGACCCACAGGCCGAATAAAGGAAACGTGCGAAACATCCCCCCATATACATGCACGTTTGCGTATATGTGAGTTACATCGTTACGTGTGCACACACCGCACAGTGCACACCCTACCTACCTACCCTATGAGTTTAGCAGTTAAAGTATTTGGTACCCGTATACTTACAGCCCATGTACATATACACGTATATACCTCTCTTTGTGCGAGGAAAAAAAAGATGGATAGACTGAAGGGGGAACCCGGCCCAGGGGGTTGCTTGCATGTGAGAAAAATTACGTACACCTGGCAGTAGTTTGGGCCCAGCCCCAGCTGTCCCCCTCTCGTTCGCGCTAAAGTGTCGACTAGTACTCGACCCTCTCTCTTCTTTTTCCTCCTATATACAGGGTACGTGTATAGCTCGTTGAAAAAAAAAAAAATAAAATAAAAGAAAAAACACATTTAAGATGCAGCCGGCAGGTCGTTGTAACTACTTTATTCGCTTGCCAGGGCCGTGGATGTATGTTCTCCTTCTCTCTCGCACCCCCATTTTGTGAACCCCCTTTTGGTCGATCGATATGTTATATGTATGATATATTACGGACGAAAATATGTTGATTAACTACTATATAAATATGTACAATTTCTAAACTCAATATAAAATCAAAGACCACTTGAACATTGTGAAATTGTAAAAATATCTTACCAGGTAAAGCACCACCACCCGGAGCTTACGATCCAAAGTTTGACGTGAAAGTAAAGGGACCGGTAATAGAGAAGAAAACCGGCAGATTTTACGATGGAAAGAGCACGAGTAGCGCCGAGTGCAGTGCTTCGGTATCGAGTCGGAGCACCGGCAATAACTCGGTTAAAAAATTCAGAACGGTAATTCTGTTGTTTAGTCGATTGAAACTTTACCTGTGCTTGAAATTTTCAATTTACTTGATTTTTTTTTTCCATCCACTGTAGCCTCAAATACCGAAGAAGAAAATAATAACGAAACCGGGTGGAGGTAGCGGCTCAGGGGCTAAGACAAAGGACAAGCAAGCTGCGTACGAGCCACAACAGGAATTGGCCGATTTAAAGGTAGAGTGTGAAAATAAGGACAAAACCATTCGCGAGTACGAGAGACTAATTGAAGAAATGAAAGTCGAAGTTAGGGAGCTCAGTGAAAAGTATGATTCTTTGCAAGCCAAGTTCTCGGAGAAGGAGGAGCAACATGAGAAAGATATCGAGTCAATGGTAAATAATAAATACAAAAGTATTTTTTAATAACTGGCCTTTTGTTGCTAATGATGAATTTTTTTTTTTTCTTTAGTTCCAGCTACCTTGTATTTTATTTGATCATGAAGTGGAAATTGGCAACGAAAATGATGAAACTATCAAAGTAGAAATCGCTAATTTGGAAGACGAGCTTAAAGAACAAGTTGATCTTGTCGACAAAATGGTAAAGCTTGAAGCTGCTACCAAAGAAATCGATAAAATGACGGAAGAATTTAACAAAGCACTGAACCTTAAAGATCTGCAGGTGTCGGATCTGTTGAAACTGCAAACAGAAACTGAATGTAAATTAGATCATGTAAAAATTGAGGTAATTGGAGTTGAAACATATTAAATGTTGATCGTTTGTATACTTAATAAAAAATTAAACCTGTGATTTTTTCAGTTAAAAAAATCAGAAGAACAAGTTGCAAAGCTTGAAGCTAACTTGGAAAGTATGAAAAAAATGAGTGACTCGCAAAATTTAAGCAGAAGCATAATCGATAAAATGACTAATTTCCTAGTTGACAATTTCGATTTTGATAATTCTGGTAGAAAATGGACCATTGAGGATGAGTCGTTTTCTCCTGACGTTATTGAATTTTTAAATAAAGTCAAACGACTGGCAACAGACTTAAAAGTAAGTTTCGAACGTGAAATCGAGTTATTAAGGGATAATTTCAACGAAGAGCGCGAAAACCTTGAGCAAAAGTTGGCTGAAAGCAACGAAACGAATTTATTTTTAACCGAAGAACTGAAAAATATTATAAAATCATACAAAGATGTGAGTAAAATTTCTTATCAGCAGTAAATTTTTTCGTGAAATTGTTTATAATGATTTTATTATATTTTAAGATTAATGAAAGCCTGAAAGAAGTCAAAGGAGAATTAGAAGCAGCCAACAAAAGGTGTGCAGAAATGGCTAAAGTTCACAAAGCAGAGATAGAACTGACAAAAAATATTAATTTAGAGGAAAATTCAAAATTAAGTGATTTACTTCAAGAGACAAGAAGCGATTATTTAAAGGAGCTCGATAATGTAAATAAATTCAGCTACATTTTTTTGTCAATATTGTTGCCACGTCTCATTATGCTATTTTATTGTAGATAACGAAAGCACGAAATAGAGAACTTCTTGAAGTAAGACAAGCTGTGGAAAAGCGAATAGAAGACGAGAAAAAACGAATGCAAGATTGCGCAAATAAAATGGTCGAAAATGCGGAAGCTATAACGCGAGAAACTCTGAGTGCATGCAGAGCTGAAAGTGAAGAGAGAATAAAGAGGGTTATTACTGAAACTAATGCTAAGGTATTTCTATTTTTTAATGTTCACTTTTACATGTAACATTCTAGATAAACAAAACAATAACTGCATTACTTCATTTAGATTGGACTAGTTAAAAAGGCATCCAAAGAAGAGTTACGTCTCGCAACCGAAAAGTACAATGAACGTCTGGGTCAATTGGAGAAAGAAAAAGAAGCTTTAAACATAGACTTAGCTCGGAGAAATTTAGAAATAATTGAATTAAATGCAGCGCTAGAGGAGATGAAATGCACTGTAGAGACTCAAGAGAGCTTCAGTCAAAGTTTACAGGACGAATTAGATCGAGTTGAAGCGGAATTCATGGAAAAAAAAGACGAACTTCGCAACTTGAAGGAACAGATTCGCAATGAGTCATCAGAATTGGTAGCTCGTAAACGTAGACTCGAACTCGTCATGGCAGAAAATCAAGCATCCGTTGCAGCTTTGTCTTGCAGGCTTGCACAAAGTGAAGCTGAAGTGGAGAGATTACAGCGAGAACTGCAATTAAAAGAAAGCTCTCTCACTGGTTGCCAAGAGTTATTGGGTAATATTACACACAACTCTAAAATGGTCCAAGACCAGTTGGATTCTCTTACTGGTGATATTGACCAAAAAGTAAAACTGATAAATCAAATAGAAATGAGATGCGTTGATGATATTAATAATGCGAAAACGACGTTTAACGACGAGATCGAAAGTTTGAAAAGTATCACGATTAATGAACTGAAGAAATCTGAGCAAGAATGTAAGACTCAGACTGAACATATTGAAGAGGTATTTAATAATTGTGTTTGTCAAATAAAAACCACTATAAAAGTTCTTACTCATTGCTTTTTGTTTTTCAGCTAAAAGCTAGTCTCCAGCAAATGTCAAACAGATTAGGTGAAGCGACAGATATGTTGCTAAAAATGGAAGAAATCCATGATGAGCGATCTATTGAATTATCTAAATCGCAATTGCAAATTACAAAATTACAGCAGCAGTTAGATGATAAAAATCGAATCATCGATGAAAACATATCTTCTTTTGAAAAACGAATTCAACAGTATAAGACTGAAATTAAAGAGGTAAGTTACTGTGAGTTAATACAAATTAAATTATTAATATTTCAAATTGATCACGGATCATTTGATTTTAGCTTAGGGAACAAATATTTAAATTGAAAACCAATTTAAAAGAGCAAGAAACAAGAAGGAACAAACTTGAGGTATTACGATTATCGATTCTATACAAAAACAATACAAATAATTTTTTTAACAATTTTATATTAAACCTTTTAATTTTAAATAGGAAAAAAAATATGATTTTGAAGAACTGGAATTAAAGTACAAAGATCAAGTTGGTATTCTAAAGTCAAATTTAGAAAACGAAAAGACTCAGCGCGAAAAACTAGAGCAACAAATGAAACAGTGTGAAAAAACTGTTACTCCGGACGAATGCAAACTTGCAGGAAAATGTAGCGAAGTGGTTGTTCACAATAATCACAAGCAGAGGACAAAACACGTATCTCAGTTAAAGGAAAAAATAAGTGTTCAACAGATGGACCTTCTACGATTGCGGCAGGTTCGTGCGATCTTCGTAATCACTTGCGTGATTGTATTTTTCTGGATGTGGTCCCTGTATTTGATAACACCCCTCTCGTATTGCATTTTTTAACAAACGATAACAAACAACTTTTTCCTTCATTTAGTTAGAGGTGTATTGCATGTTGATGTTTTGATATACTAATTTATAATTGTGTTAATTATTGTAATTTAAGCTTTAAATTTATTTTATTATACATCTTTGGAATGCGTTTAAAGACCATCAAAGTGCCGAACAACAATAAAGAGTGTGAATATTTTTTTACCATGACAATTATAGTGTATTTTTGGTCTTTCTTTTTTTTTTTTTTTTTTACATTTTGTATAATTTCCCTCGCACTGCCTACATAAACTTGGGAGCTTTATCAGCGCCATCGATCGATTAGAGAGCGATCGTCCAGTATTTATGCAACGTGTGTGTTTTAGGAACTTGATACGAAAAACAATCTGATCGATGAACTGCGCCAGGCCAATGAAAAGCTGAAAGTTGACGAGCGCCGGCAATTTGGAGTGGGGAAGGAGAACCTCCACGCGGTTATTTCGTCGCCGCACAATAAGTCGTTGTTTCCAAAAAGCGCTAACACGACACCCGTATCGTCGCCTCATAAGCCACTCACTCCGCTACGTGATAGGAACGAATGAACTCAGACGAGTTTTTAATTTTGTCTTGCGACTCTTTTTGCAGTACTGGTGTGCCTGAAAAATTTATTCCAAAATGACATGGAAAATCCGTTCGTTTTGTTTGTGACTGTACATTTAAGAGTTGATGTAGCTGTTAGTAAGCTTTTAGTTTTGGTACACATATATAACATATATTATTATTTATTGTTACGAAAAGTCCGTTTTCTTCTTAGACTTTATTTTGAGAAATTTTAGTGTTCAATATTTTTAAATTTCCTCACAAAAATCTGTTTTAAATCGTTAATTTTTACAAAATCTCATCATCATTAATTTATCATCACGTTTAAATATTTACAAAAAATCGTAGTTGGAGTCTGACGATTGTATTTGATTTTATAAATATTTACATGTATTAGCTTGAATTAATTTTATGTGTATAATAAAATAAAATGTACGATTGATCAATGCAAAATTCGATGTCTTAGAGCCACAGAAAGAAAAATGTATTGAGTTGAATCAACGATTCATGCAGAGATTTGCTACGCAATTGCATGAAAGGCTTAATGGCGCGCATTACTATTACCATAATATTTTTTTCGCAATAGTGTGCGGAAAATAGGTGTTTTCCGCACTGGTATTAGTGTGGAAAATCGATTTTCCCACATAGTGTGCGGCAAAGGTTTTTGCTACGCACTCGTGTGCTCAACTGGTACTCGTTCCCGTCAACTCCGGCCACTCGTGTGAGTCAATCACTACTCGTGCGGGAAATCGTCTTTTCCGCACTTGTTACGTAAATAACTATTAATTCAAACATGTTTTACTTTACAAACCATTGGTAAGTAAAAGCAACAAAATTGCTACACACTTAACGAAGAAAAAGAAGCGAGTTAGCTGACGTATTTTCGTAAAGGTGCTTGGTAACTATCCAAACTATGGTTCCCAAATTTTTTCTTTTCTTTGCATACTGCGAGATACTAGTTAAGAATTGCTAAAAAATGCAGTTTTAGTCATTAAATTGGATTTTGATACTTTTTATCATGATCATTTTAACAAATTAAAGAGCCTTCCGTGAAACACGTTGTTAGAAAACTTGCAATTTTATTGACATTTTTTTTCTTCTCTGCTTTGAGACTTTAATTTTGAATTTTAAATGTGTTTCCGCCTTGCGCGATTCTGATAAGCAGAAAAATAATCTACATGCAATTGGATGTGAATGAAAATTCACGACTATCTTATCAACGATGTTTATATTAGGTATAAGCTTGGAACTTTTGCAAGCTCATTTTTATATTCAGATGATACGTCATGTTTATCCCAAAGTTTCATAACTCGAGCAGGAAATCTTGTATTATTAGAAAAAGAGCTTTGAAAAACGTTGTTGGAGAGGTCACGATAACGAGAAAAATAAACTTGAAAGTATATAAACGTAACGAGAGCACGGCCAAAGGGAAAAAAAAATTACGCGCTTGCCAAGATTGCCGCCACAGCAGGTTTGGTTAGTAAGCGGCACCTTTTTTTTTCTCTTATTCTCTTTCTGAGCGCGCACGCCTGCAAGCTAAGCTCCGTGTCAAAGAGAATGTCAAAAGAGGAAGGGATAGTAATGCCGTGGCTTTTGGTTTCGTTACACATATCTTTCACGTGAGCGCTCGTTAGCTGTCATTTGTTACTTTAATTTCGATTATATAAATACATATTTGAAACATTCGAGACGTGAATAATTTTACAGCGCACGATAGTGTTGCAAAGTACGATGAGCTGCAATCCTGTCAAGAAATTCGACGAACTCGGTAAATATACACCCGAGTGTACACAGCACGTTATTTTTCCCCCTCGCTTGATGTTTGATCGATTAGAAAGTATGCGCACTCATTAGTTTTCGGGTTTTTCCCTGGACAGTCAGCGTATACAGTGCTTCGGCAACGCAGCTTGCAAGCACGTTGAGTTTGTTCATTTTTTTCCCTCAAGGGAGATTTCTCTTTAGTGTGCCCCTGGCAGTTTTTCAAATTACAGTTGTCAAAGCTATTTGTACATACATTTCCGAAGAATAATTAACGCTTGTATTTGTTGATTGTCTATAATTACATGTTTTGTCAATTATATTTTGTATTATTAAAAAATTATAGTCTTGGACATATATTTGAACGACCCGAGAATATTTGCGAAGGAAAACATGTGTATTTTACAAAGTGCTGACGATGTTATATCGTAAGTCTGAATCAACAATTTTTTTTTTCCTCTTTTGTTATCGCGTTGAATCGTGGATTTTTGATTTTCAAGTGATATCGTGAGATTACAGAAATGCGGAAAATGTCATTTTTATTTATGATTCGATAAAAAAAAATCCAATTAAATTGTACAAGTGATAACTTTTTCTCAAAAATTGTCCCCTTATTCCAAGTGTCATGTAAATGTGTGAACATAATGTATGTAAAATGATCCCACGCGCACATGACATAAGAGGATTGAAACAAAGAAGTATAAACAATATAAATTTCCAGACGAGAGCGCGCAGCAGTTGCTCCAACTGGGTAAGAAAGCCCGAGACTTTGCGTACGCGCCGTACAGTCACTTCAGGGTGGGTTCGGCGCTGCGCTGCACCGATGGTAAAATCTACACTGGCTGCAACGTGGAAAACGCCTCGTTCCCGGCCTCGATATGCGCCGAGCGGTGTGCCCTGGGCAAGGCCATATCCGAGGGCAAACAGAGCTTCGACTCGATCGGCGTCGTGGCGGAGCGCGTCGAGGGCAGGCTCACTACACCCTGCGGCGTTTGCCGGCAGATGCTCGCCGAGTTCGGTGACTTTAAGGTTTACGTGGCTAGTCCCGATCTGTGCGACGTTCTCTCGACCACGACCCGCGATCTGCTGCCACACGCCTTCACTTGCAACAACCACGTTTTGACACTCAATTCAAAGGTGTAATGATACATGTGTATTATTACTTAGACATGCCTCTTTACAGTTTGATGAACTTATGCAAAAGTAACGTCAGTGCGTCGTTACTACTTTCGGAGTTTGGTTGCAACTTTTGCGGCAATAGAGCCGGGAAACTTAGAAGCCCTCGACCTTTTAGTACGTACAAATTCGTAGGATTGAAATGAAGCAGGAATTCGATACTTTTTTTTTGTTTTTTTTTGTTATTTGGGTATTTTAATGCGATTTGGAAATATTTTTTTTCAACATAATGAGGCAAGCCAAAATATTTTAAGCAAAATTTTAATCAGTACATAATTCGTAGGTCACAATATAAAACGTTTTTTATACATTTGTAATTTTTATCTAGCGTTACATGCTCCGTCTTTCTTTTACAGGTAAATAAGTCAAATCTGTTTTATCATACCCAATAAGAATTTTCCAAACAAACAATTTAAAAGAGGCTAAAAGAATCGTGGCGGTATGTAGACAATAGAAGGAATGAAAATTTGGTATTAAAAAAATACACTTTCTCAATAAGTAGGAATGCACGTGGAATATTTTGATTATAATTTACTTATAAACATTATGATATAATATGTACATTGGTTCGAAAACGTAAGTTGAATGGCCTCATGTCAGTACGCGAGACATTTTATTAACATTTGCGTACGTGCGTTGCATTTCAACAATCACTATTTCAAAATATTTTGTATTAAATCGCGATCACGTATGCACACGTACATATGCACGAGTCATTCACTCTTCCTCACGCTTATTCGATTACCATTATTATTATTATTTACAAGTTGGATGTAGAATAAGAGGAACTGTCGTGTAATAAAACGTATATTTTTACAAGAGCGCAGCTTGACGATTTGTAAGCTCAGTAGAGTAAGCGCCAAAAATGCTTAACAGTTAATTCATCTCTATCTCTCTCTTTCTCCCATTTTTTAAATCAAAGTCCTGGGAGAAACATGACATGAGATAATTACCAAAACGGACACCTGTAAAAAAAAAAAAATTTGTAAAAAATTACGTTATCAATGAAATGTACATAGAAATTAAGTACAAAATTACTGTCATTTATACAATACGCTAATAAAAGTAAATTTTATACACGAGTAATAATAATAATTGTGTCTCAACTAACCATCCCACGTAACACTGGCAAAGGTTTTCGTTGTTTGTCGCCTGCTGAATCAACAAATCCACCTGTCGCTGAACACTCAATGTTTCTTCGTGCGAAAAATCACGACCCGTCAACTTGTCTCGAACCCGATTAATAATTTGCAGCGCTCTTTTGTTTAGTGCTTCGGGTTGATTGGAATCCCCTAAAGTGAAGCAATTTAATTTGAAAATATTGAAAAAAAAAGTACAATAAAACAGAAACACAAGTGAAAGTTTTTACCTCCATTCTCAAAGTTAACGGGAACCCCCTTCTTGGGAAAAGTGGTGTTGAGAGAATCAAGTGTATCGCCTTGTTCTTGACTGCTGCTCACGCTCATGCCTTGGGTGTCACTTCTCTTACTCTTTGTTATCGCATTGTCCATCAACCTCCAATTGAGCAGCGGATCGTAAACAAAGGCCTCGAGCACAGCCATCAAACTGTCCTTGTTGCGATGCAGTACCGACATCACGGACTCACAAGTGCGACGGTAGGTACCCTCGATACCCGTAACTTCCATCGCGTTTATTAACATTCGGGTCAACCGGAAGGGTATCTTTTCCGGGAACTTTTCTCGCGTCATAGCAACCTCGAAGCAGTCACCGAAATCTATGTGCAAAATTTTGCCACTGAGCCGATCCAACATCAAATTCGAAGGATGCCGGTCGCCCAGTCCCAAAATGTATCCGACCATCGACATGACAGCGAGCGATCGGGTGTAGTTCGTGCGCCGGTCAAACCACACCTCGCTCGAAGGAGACTTGAGCCACAATAGTCGTGCCAAGTCGTCGCCTTGCGTGTGCTCGAGCGCGTGCTCAAAAACCTCGACTTTTTGCATAAGCATCAGATGATCGTAGTCCGGTGCCATCTACGAAAATAAAAAATACAAATTAATTTGTCTTCCGTATTTTTAGAGTTTTTATCTTTTCAACTTACTCTCAACATTATTTTGTGCTCAATGTTCAGCAATATCTTTCTCTTATCACGATAATCGCGTATCAAAGTGTGCAAAGTGTCGCAATGAGGCACCCATCCTATAAGGCCACTGTTAGTAGACAACGGTATAACCGCGTATCTCTGAATCGTCAGGTTTCTCCTGAAAGTATCGGGATCATGAAGCAGCAAAGTGTTCACGAGACCAAAGAGTTGCATGACACGCTCGTCTTGACGAAGATCCTCGTGACCCTTCAACAAGAACATGTAGTCCTTTCCGTTACTTCCCTTAATGCACAGCTTCCTGGGTCGCTGTTTACTCGTTATAACTTGCAAAGAGCCATGTATATTCGCTATCCTGATGATGGGTTGGCCGGGCTGATAGCTTCCTGGAACCGCTAGTTCAAGGTCTCGGCAGTACTGCAGCAGAGGGCTAACATACTGCAGCTCGAGACTCGTCAACTGGGGCAACTGTCGAGATATTCGCCTAAAGACGTGGTAATAAATATCCCAGGCTTGATTGAGATCGCGCACGTTGCCGGACGCCCGGTAATTATGGCAGAGCTTTTGCGCCTCTCTCAAATCATTGCCGTAAGCTTGGTAGAACGATGTCTCTTTGAGCGTCTGAGGACCTCGATCGAGCATTGCGTGCAGCGGTTCCAGAGTATCAAACATTCCTGTAATAAAATCGATTCTCGTTTAACAGCTGTCCTTTTGACATTGAACAAAAACTGAGTGAGCGAAAAAAATACCTTTGACGTTGCGCTCGCCAAAGTACAGGCGACTAGCCTCTTCGAGGCCTTCGTGCCAAAGTTCGTGCCAGAGAATAGCTACACGTATGAGTTCGTCGCTGACCATTTTCGCCTGTTGAACGAGCGTTGGACTGTGCTCGCTCATGCTGTTCAGGATCTTGTTGGCAGCGGTCTTGCGAGCGTGGCTCGCACTTTTCGAAGCTACCGTCAGAGGATACACCAAGGCCTGGGGGTGGGTTTTTCCAATGTCGACTAGAAGGTTGTGAATACAGCGTCCCACCAGAGCTCGTGGAGTATCGATTCGCGCAATCAGTTGAGGTATCACCTGCGACAAATGTTTTTATTTTGACAATGAGAAGGATTTCGCTGCACCCCAAAGACATTGGTAACTTTACTGACCTGCAACCAGGTATTGATCTCGATCAGCCGGATTCCCTCGATGATGGCGTCGTAAACCTCAGGCCACTGACCGTACTCGAACCACAGCGTTAGCAGCCTCAACGTATCTTGCAGAGAATTGCCGTGAGACAAATTGATCGAGCTGATGAAACCTTCGAGGGCGGGCACAGTGAATCTCGATATGTAAGATAAATTATTCCTGGCTCCGGTATTTGGCACTGCTGCGTTATTGAGCGACATGTCGACGCTGTTGTCTCCGCCCTGTTGATGCTTGTAAAAGAGCACCGCCTCGAAATTCGTGTATGCAAACGCGTGCCACGCTTTGTACCAATTGGGATCGTGTTTCTTTGCCGCCGTGTAGTACGAAAGTATGGTCGGGATCGAGTTCTCCTTGATGCCCTGCAACGACTCCACCCACTCGCCCAGTTTGTGATAGCCCCGGGCCAATATTCGACGACAAGCCTCGAGCTGTCTTTCGTCTATCGATTCTTCCGAATCCAACTCGATGGGGGGCGGAAGTGCCTGTAACGGCTGCTGCAGCATCTGCTGTTGTTGGCCCTGAGGTGGAATTTGAATTTGAGACTGGTCGGGCTGCTGTTGCTGCACTTGCTGCTGACCCTGTTGTTGTTGCTGCTGCTGCTGTTGTAGCTGCAACTGCTGCCTCTGCAGTTTCTCCTGACGAAGAATTTGCATCTGCAGTTGCTGCTGCTGTTGTTGGTAGAGGGTCATGAATCCATGGACGAATCGTTGCAGCTGAGCGTAAGCCTTTTCCCGCTGACCCGCGACCCACATGTGCTTGCAATAGGCAAATGTCACCTGAGGATGCTCCATAGGCAATGGTTGGTCGGGCGCTTGGGAGGGATCCGTGCCAAGGAGCATAACCAGCGTCTTGTGGCAGAGCGCGAGGTTGCCGCTTTTGCGGCACAGACTCGCGTACTTTAGCCAGGTGTACATGTCGTCCTGGGGCGGTATGACTAGAGTGTGCACCTGGATGATTTTTTGCCAGTCCTCGACTATGTGCTGGCCACCCTGGAGACGCTCCCACCACATGGACTTGATGGTAGCTCGGCGCTCGGGCACCAGCTTGTACTGTATCACTTCCTCGAGTTCGGCGAGCTTCTGAACCTCGACCATCGCGTTGTACGCTCTTTGGTAACTTTCCCCAGCCATGGCCGTCAATTCGGTATCCAGTATATCTCGAGCGCTGTCGATCAACTTGTGCGCCAGGCCGTAATTCTCGTTGTGAATGGCCAGTACTGCTCGATAGAACGCGCCATCCTGCGAGTCTTTGGGTATGAGGGCTACGTGATTCTCCATGCTTTGCCACTGGTTCAAGCCCCAGGCCGCAGCTGCAGCCATTCGAGCCATTCGCTGCTTCGTTTCCTGACTGTGGGACGACCACTCGCGCATCGCCACATCGTGCAACTGACCCCACTCACCCAGTGCTTCGAGGCAACGCATTTCACCGAGCGTCGACTCGACGTCTTTCTGATCGGCTTCGAGCCTTTCGCGATAAAGGTGCAACGCCTTGTCCCAGTTGTGGAGCTTTTCGTACCAGCGCACTTGTACCGTCAACTCTTGCTTGTTGTTCTCCTGCTGCTGGTTCATCACGTACTCGAGCAGACCCTCGGCGGCCTCCTTCTGCTGCAACTTGTTGTTTATGCTGATCAGCGACTCGAACACGGCGCTGTTTTTGTTCTTGTGGAACTCTTCTTCCTTGTAGTGCAGAGCCTTGGCGTAGGCACGACAGTGCATGGCTCTCTCGCCCAACACGGTACTGTCCAGGGGTAAGGGACCCTTGTCGCAGTGTTCCATGAACTCGGCGAGGTTCAGAATGGTTTGGCTCACTTCTGGCAGGTCAGGCACCATGAGAGCTTGCTGCAGGGTCGCTATGAGCTCGACGCGGTGTTCTTCGTCGAGTTCGGTCCAGCAGGAGACGAAAGCCGCATTGAACAAGTCGCGCGGTAACTGCGAGTACGTTTGAGCGAGGGCCCAGCACGATCGCAGCGCCGGCGAGGGTGACTCTTTAAGTAAGCCAATCGCCAAGCTGCGCAACCACTCGAGCCAATCGTCCTTTGATACTCGTCGCGTGGCCAGCCAGGCTTTTTGTAGATTAAAAATCGACAAGTTGAGCTTTTTAATGGTATTGGCGTCAACTGTCGAGGCTACCAGCGACTCGGCTTTTTGGCCCTTGTTGCGCGCTTGCCTGTGTCTCGCGCTACTTATCAACAGGTGATCGGAATCGCCGGTCTCGAAGCGTCCTTGCGAGCCCAATCGTGCCTCGCTCTGTACTTTGTCGACGAGGCTCTCGAACCTCGAGTGCACTATTTTGTGCTTCGCCATGACACGCTGCACGAGGGGTAGGAAAATTTGAAACTTGGGTCCGAGTTGGAAGAGCAGAGCGCAGAGCACCTCGCAGGCCGGGCCGCGGAGTTCGGGGCACTGGTCGAGGGTTCGGACTAGCGGATGAGTGACGCGCGAGACAAAGTCCGTAAAGTCGAGAAAATCGGTCAGGTACTCGACTGTTTCGAGAGCCTGGCGACTTACGTTGATGGGACAGTCGGGGCCGTACTGGAAGAGACGAACTATCGGCGGAAGAACCAGATGAAGGTAGCTGTCGAGGTTGGTGCCAAACTTTTGCAGTGCGTTCAGTAGTCTGTCGGTCGCTGTGCGGTCTTTACTTACGTCGTGGCTCAATACTCGTAGGATCTGTAATATCATTTTTAACACGTTAAGATTTGAATAACACACAAGCACTGACTTGACGAGGTAATGCTTCTCTTACTTGAGGCATGAGGCTGGGAAGATAGACCTTGAATTCAGCACACAGAGCTACAGCAACTTTTTCAATTAATGAAATAAACGTGTCCTGCAAATTACTGTGCACTGTCCAAAACTTGCGGACAAGCTTGAATATATCGTCGAGATAGTTGCGCGCGTGTTGCTTGACGATTTCGATTATAATGCCCATTTGTTGGAAAAGGAAGTCGTGTACGGAGGAGTCCGAGTGGCTCAGTACATTTATTAAATTTGGCATGACCTGCAAAAAATAAACTCGTGATGCATGTATAGAGAGGAAGAAATGCGAAAATATTTTTTTCTTTTTTCTTCTACCTGATTTATGAAGGGCACGCATTTGATGCCTAGGCTTTTAAAAATGAAGGTCACGGCTTGCACGACCATGGTGTGGTGCTGCGAAAGGGTTGGTTCACGCATGATTTTTATAAGCGTGGCTATGGCAATGGCTGGATAGTACTCCTCCAAGGTGCCAGAGGCCATGCTTACGAGCATTTCGCTTGAACTAAGGTCGTCCGAACCTTCCGGCCTGCCGTCAGCCGATGGCCGTGAACTCAGTAGTTCAAGCTGCGGCGAAGAAATTTGTCCGAGATTCATCTTGTGGCTGTACGGATCGAGAGCACCGAGAAGACCCAGCACGCGTATCGTTTCGCGCCTGACGGTCGGCTGCTGCTCAGTCTTGAGAAAATTCATAAGAACTTCGAGAAGCGACGGGTACTGCAACAAAAGATGGGTACTAAATCATGATAAGGTCTGTATACTTGGTAAATCACACCATGATTTTACCTGCTTGTAAGGCCTCACGACGTAACCGGTGCTACCAACGAGCTGTCCAAGGACCCAGAGAGCGACTCCACGTTTTTCGGGAGACGACGCATCGACCAACATTTCAAGTAGTATGGACAACAACTCGGGCATCCAGGGGTTCATGTCAGCTCCGCTGACCTCGGCCAAGTCACCGAGGCACCTCAGGACGGCGAGAACGACGCCTGGACAGGGATCGGGCTCCTTGAGCTTCAGCACTAGGCGCTTCAGCACCGATACGAAGTAAGGTCGAATGAGGCGCGGTGCCGAGACCACCAGATGGTCCAACAAGCGACTTGCCTGCTCCTTGTTACGGCTCATACCCGAGCTCTCGAGCTCCGTCAGAAACTGAATGAGAGTTTTGCGCAAAGCCGGCAACACGTAGGCTGGATTGATGTTGCTCAACCGTCCCACCGTTTTGATGGCTGATTCGTAGATTCGCAATTGTTAAGAATGGTAATTTAAATTGAAACCAGAGTGGATTATATGTGTTCCTTACCTAGTTCGCGAATTTCGAAAATTTCGTCGTTCATAGCGACAAATAGACAAGATAGGCTTTCAGCTTGTGCGAGATGCATGTCAAAGGGATCGTCAAGCGATGCGAGGACCCAGTAGCGGACTTTGGTGTCGGTGTCCGTGATCCCAACGATGAGCAGCTTACTTAGAACGGCCGACACTGTATTCGTGACTGTGGGCCCAGGCTGATTCAAGGCTAATCTCAGAAGACGTGAGCACGTCTTGACCGCCTCTAATCGAACATCCGGCTCTTCCCAAGTGAGAAAGTAATCGGCGCAACGACGCACAAACTGCAACAACGGGTTGCCGTCAAAGTTGAATGTGCCGAGGGTGCGTAAGCCCAACACCGTCGAAGTGACATCTATTTCGGTAGGTGGTACCGATACCGGACTCGTCGCTGTCCACGGTGCTCCAGGGTGGCGTAGTGGCTTGTACATCAGTACCTGAGTTACAAGGAAATTTTTCAATGATATCCACACCACGTGAGGTTACCAAAAAACGAAAGACAATTGAATATCATACCTGAGAAAGCATTCGCAACAGTCCCTGAGATATGTCAGGCTTCAGGGAGGGTACATTGCAAGCGAGTTCTCGGAGAGTCGTTGTAAGAACAGGCGAAAGTCCGGTCGCGAGCATTGGCTCAAGGAGATCCTTGACGTCATTGGTAATCGTCTGCTTGACCGCATGGCTCAGAAGTGTTATGCACACAAATACGGCAGGCTCGAGGGCAGAGCTCCTCTTCCGACTCGGCGTTTCCTTGGACGGCAACGAGTTTTTAATCACGTCCATGATCTTGGGCAGGTAGGGCTTGATAGCGTCGCCGACGGCTACGGCTATCAAACCTATCGTGGAAAAGGCAGCGGCTCGATCCTTTTCCCGGCCTCTGAGACTGAGGAGCAGGTAGCTGAGACACTCGCGTAGATTGTCGGCGACGAAGCGCTCGCGATTAAAGGCGGCCAAGCGCGGTAACAAAGTCATCAGGGCACTTTGTATGTACATGTTACGATTGTGGCGTTGATTGATCACGTCTTCATTGATCTCGTGCAGCTTCTCGAGCATCAAGTTGCGACAAGCAGCGGACTCGTGGACCGGAGATAACGGGTGGTGGCCCGTCGAGTTTGAATTGTGAGCTACGATGCTCGAAAATTTAGACGTCAGTATGCTGCTCCTCATCCTTGGCATCAAGGACTGGATTTCGTTGTCCTGAGCTTGCGACGCGTAGTTCAGTCTTTCCATGAGATCCTCGTACAGCTTTTCCCAGTTCAAGTTGCTGCAGCGCAAAAGCTCGTTCAACACGAGTAGCGAGCCGTGTATCCTGTCGTCCTTATTGTAGCCCTTCTCTCGCACGGGCACATCCTCGAAGCCTGCGACAACTTCGTCGTAGCACTGTTTGTACCATTGGGACTTGTGCATCTGCTTGGCAGTCTCCCGCTGAGCCGTTACGACCAGAGCAGCCCTCAGAGCTTCCACTGCGGCCTCGCGAATCACAGGCTTGGGATCTCGTACCGCGTTGAAGATCAGCTCGAAGAACAGAGTTACCTGTTGGAAAAAGTACGTTGGCATGCACATGGCTAACTCCTTGAGCATGAAAACAGCGGCGTGCCTCTTGTGCTCGTGCCTGTCCTCGCTCAGCCACTCAAAGGCCCTCTTGACCTCGAACTCCACGTACACCGCTGTGTAATTTCCGGACACCAGAGCCAACTTTCCCACCGTCTTGGCGGCGAGTTCCATTACGCCTACATCGTTGGACGGTAGCAAGTTCCTCAGATAGTTGACAAACCTGATGGTCCTCGTGTTGACGCTGCCAACGTCTGCGTCGGTCAGGCAATCGATGGCCAGGATGCCACCCTTCTTCTCGTTGATGTCAGAGCTGGAGACCATTTCAAATATATAATGGTTAAACTCGTCCATGAAGGCGGTAATTTCTTCCGGTGTGGCCTCGCGTAGCTCCGTCTGTACGTAGAAGCAGAGCTCGCGGGCCGCCTTGTTCCTGACATCTTCGTGCTTCGACTTGAGCTTCTGTACAAATTGCTGGACCAGCGTACTTGTCATCTTTCTGGGATGACAGCTCCCTGAATCTAGACTCAAGACCACTTGAAATCCAGAATCCGGCAGCTCACTTGCCAACGTCAAAACATGCCTGTAAACATTCGGAACTTTTATACATTTTTACACTCGTTGTGATCACTTTTGACGATTAAATCTACGATAGAAATGACGTTGGCGGCGGCGTTCCACATCCTCATTGATTCCAAAACTGTAGCGAATATCAATTGAGAACCAACAGCACGTTGTGGTCCTAGATGTGATTTTACATCGATGAATGAACGATGACTTGCTCGCGAGAGAGTCCGAAATCACTCAAAAACCGTAATAAATGCTCGCGAAATAGGTTAGAAAGAGGAAGAATTCTTATTATTTACCTGCGGGGGCTGCGGGCCAGAAGTGCCGACTCTTGCTCGTGAAATCCCAGAAAGCTTGGTTCGAACTCACAGAGTAAAAAAAAAAACGCACGCAAACGGCTAACTGCGATCACAAGATAACCGTGATAATCCGCCCAATGACATGATTATGTACACCAAAGGGGAAAAAAGTTTTTAAAAAATATGAAACTGACTCCAAAATAATATTCCAAGTGCGTATACGCGCGTGCAGCGTGCATGAGTGAGAGGTGAGAGGTGAGAGCAGCAGAAGGCATGCGTGCGTAAACATACTGCGCACATCTAAATAAATTGCGCATTGCATACACACACACGGATGATAATGTGTAGTTGTGTTGTTGTGCGCGGAATGTTATTGTTATGAATGGATATATCTAATTGATTGCAGAGAGGAAGCCGGTGCTGTGGGACCTTTTTTTCGAAAAAAGAGTTAGACTTTGGAAGTGAAGAGAGAAAATCATTCGGAAATGGCTCAGCTGTTGAACTTGCCGGTTAACAATGGCAATTCGTTCATTGTCGTGGACGAGGGTAAGAATTTGGGAATGTTTTTTTATCCAAAAAACATAACCCCCTCCCATGTGTTACATTATGAGAAAAACCAATATTTCATTGTTGTGGTTTTTAATTTTTTTTTTTTTTTTCTGACGCACCGTGATTCGGAAAATTTTGTTACGTAATTTTTTAAACTTAATAATGAGCTTCGAGTGCTTTATTTTATGTTTTTCCTTGCCAAGATCGATTGCGAAATGAATTTATTATTTTTTTTAATGAAAACAAAAATCCATGTTTTTCAGGGATAGATGCGACTTATGCAGAGAATTTGACCATAGCCTGGCTGCAAGCACTGAGAAAGAAGAACATACAAGAAAAAGTCAGTATGTTTCTCTTCTCCACCCCAAAGTGTCAGTTGGAAAAGTCTCTAAAAGCTTCAGGTCTGGAAAGTGTTAATATATTGGATTACTTTAGTGTAGATTTGCAAAAAGAAGACGACAAGTGTCAACAGAGGAACATCGATTTGTACGAAAATTTAATGAACAATGCCCTAGATTATGCAGACTCTGTCATTGTGATCAATTGTTTGAGTACCCTCTCTTTGCAAGTTGGACCATCCAAAGCGTGTAAATTTGTGGAAAAATTGAATCAGACGCACAAAACGACAGTATTCTGTATTTACAGGAGAGACTTGGCTCAAAGTATTCCCAGGATAGAAACGTTAGGCAATATTTATGCCAAATTGAGAAAGGCCAAAAAACTTGCTTACGAGTCAAACATAAATTATGAAGTTTCCGTGACTCACAGAAAAGCCGGTGGAAGCATTGTTCGCTGGAACGAATTGGTGCAACAGAGTATGGGTGATTATAGTCTCGTATCCGAGAGAATTCCTGACGCCGGTGTCATTTCAATGCCGGAGGTGCTAAAGCCAAAGGAAACTGCGCCAAAACCTCAAAGTTCCTTTAGAATAGAGATGAGCGAGCAAGAAATGAAACAGAGAGATAGCGTACCGCTACCGTACATTTTACCCGGAAACCCTGGGGGAGAATCAAAAATTATTTACGTGCCAGACGAAGCGGACGACTTGGATGAGGAAGATCCAGATGACGATTTGGATATATGATCAAGGAAATTACGGACTACGAAATTATATCTTCTGTCGTGTATTTATTATAATTTGTTCATGTACATTCGTTGACACATCTTTCATATAAAATACTTTCATTTCTTTCACTTTCTTCAAACAAGAAAACTAATTCGAGACACATTGACCTATAACAGAGGTCACGGATTTGAAATAAAATTATGTGATAAAATATTCCTGTATATATACATATATTAAAAACTTTTACTTAGCCTCTTGCAGTATACATCATTTCTCTGATTATCCTCCTCAAACGAATAAAAAATATATTTTTTTTAACAAAGTATGTCCATCTATTATCACATTTTACACTTGGCCAAGTATAATTATAAAAATAATATAGTACGTAGTATGCTAAAGCAGACTTTTGTTCGTTAAAAAAATAAAATACTTTAAACAATGTATTCTTGAATACAGAAATTATAGGAACTAGTGCTTGCATCTAACAAGGCAATAGACAACCACATCTTATCAACCTTTCATAATTTGCAATATTTATCGAGATCATAAAAAAAAATTAATATCTAAAAAAATCTTTCAAAAATTTTCCATGCACTAAAAGTAAAACCAATGTTTTAAAACTTTTGAAAAATGATTGATGTCTGTAGACAAATTTATCAAGCTGACTTAAAAAAGAAGCATCTGACGAAACATTGATCCAAACATTTTTTAAATTACTTAGTTTACTCTCATTGGTTAAGCAAAACACATATTTTAATTCTCTGACTTATTGATCAAGCTCGAAACGTGTATAAGAGGTTTCGATCGTGAAAATGTTGAGTACCATCGATGTGATTCAATACTCTGCTATCGAGGAGACAGCGACAGTAGTAAATCGCTTCTTCTCTATCTTTGGCAACACCAGCTTCCAGAAGCCAGTTTACGAGTTCACTTCCAGTAAAAACTCCATTGTAGGTGCGCAACAGATGCCTCCGACACGCTGCTATTCGAGCCTGGCACTTTGCTAAATAGCAGCGTTTGAATTGTTCGCGTATGGCTTTTGATTCGGGACTCAAAGAATCTTCGTCTGGGAGCTGAAGCTCTTTCTCTATTTAAAGAAATGAGGCATCCAGTACAATGTAGTTTTATGCATCGAAATTACAAAGATTGCTTACCCATTCTCCATTTAGCTAATAAATGTGTTAACCAGCAGCCTAATTTGCCAAAACCGGAATCAACGCCAAAAATAGCAAATGCCACGAGAGACTGTCCAAAACTCAAAGCGACATCCACAAATGCAAGTTCGGTAAAAATTCCGGTCATTTCTTCCATTACCAGTATCGCTAGTGTCATAGCAAGTCCCTGGTAAAATAAATAAATGAATTATTGCCAAATAATTTTTTGTTTTGTTTTCACAAAACAAAATGATACCAACTATGAACATAGAACATAACAACAGGATCAAGAGAACGAGGTGACGCAAAGTTTGATGATCCGACACAGTAGTTCCTTCATTTTCGTTATCAGAGTCGCAGTCCGTACTGCAGTCTACGTCGTCAGTACAGCACAAACCAGTAGTTGAGCAGCTATTACCGATGTTAATGCTAAAAGTATAAAGACTTTTTGGTTGTAGGTCAAAGTCCCTCGTAAAGATAGTAAAATCTAATCATAATTACGATGATGTATTGTTAGGTGCATTTGCAATAGGAGATAAAAGATCTTCTACGTCAACTACGTTTCTGGTTATCACTGTTGTAGTGTTGGATTCTGCCAATACCGAAGTTGAACTGCTACTGTACAGTGTAGACGTTAAGCTTCGCCGCTGGTACCTTTGCCTTAATACTAGGGATCCAATGGTAACTGAAAGTTACAAATAATTTTTACAATTGAAATTTCTGGAAATTGGAAAAAAATTAATATTGATGGATATTTACCAACAAAACAAAATATCAGAAGGACTATTGTTACAGCGGCATGTACTCTACCAAACTGGAAATTTGGATTTCTAAGATCATCATCTGAAGGAATAGTTGGATTCACAGTAAAGCATATTACACTTATTACAACAAATGGTACCCTGAAAAATTTTCATTATGATTTCAAATGTTTATCGAAATGCTTTTAATCAACAATAAAAAAACATACCCCCAACACACTATGCAGAACCATTTTTCTAAATTTTCAACAAAAGTAACTGACTGAGAACTTAAAAACAGAAGAGTCAAGCCAATTGCTCCTGTCCATAAACGACTAGCATAGATACCTATTGTTATCAAAGAAAATTGAATATACCTAAAAGAAAAAGAACATTTTTATGATTTACAGGAAAATTAAAAAAATTAAATTTATATTTCAGAATGTGTAAATGCAGTCATGAGCAATATAACTACCATATAAGAGTTCCGACGCTACCATTGTCCAATTTTGTCCAAATAAGGACACCGATTCCAGTTATGAGCTAAACGAGGAATGAAATTTTAAATGTAAATTTGGTCATAATATATTTAAACCATGTTTTTCAGCAAAAACACTTACCTGAGCTAGAACTAAGGAAAATGTACATCTATGAGTTATACTTCTGAGTCTTTTTCTTCTAATACCAAGGAAACAAATGAGCAACCAAAGACAAGCAGCTACGGAAGCAGCGCTTGTGTCAAATGAAAACGATTTCAAATCTTTGGCATAATCCGATGGAGTTACTCCGTTTCCTATGGCATCGATTAATTTTGCCGATATGAACATCAAAGGTGCCGATAAAAACGTACAGACGACCATTGCTGAAGCGATCAAGTCTATGTCAATGTTGTAACGCAGAGTGAAGATGAAGAGAGCTGGAGCCGTGGGAATCGTTCCATAGAGAAAGCCAAAAGTGCTCAAGTCGGACGTTTCAGTAGTATTTTGACCGGCATTTAAAAAGACTACAGATTCTCTTATTATCAGTGGAAGGACCAAGAGCTTAATAGAAATGAGAATTCCCGGTATCACGAGAGCAACGCCCTTGAGCTTGTGTACTTTTCCGACCATCATGAGACCAAGTAAAAACAGAGCAGTTGCCGAGAACGCATTACCAAATACTTCCAATACCACTTGAATTACGGGCGGAAGTTTGTGATTGAAAAGAATATTCCCAATGATTCCAAGAAGAGTCATGAATAGAACAGGATTGGTGACTATCCCCTTGATGATTTCCTTGAGCATTTGCGTGTTGTTGCCTCGGGGCCGATTTTCATCCCCCTGCTGGCGCTTTGCTACTTCTAAAAACACAAAACCGATCGGATTCAGGGCAACCAACGATATTGGTGCCATTAGATAGAGGTACAACGAATATTCCGGATGAGTTGAACCATATAGAGCATTAACTGTAAAAATAACAATTATGAATCAGCGGTCATTCATCAGATTAAGAACAATGAATGATCATACTTACTCATTGGGTATCCTATAGCAAAGTCATTGCTCTGCGTCGTAAATATGGCAAAAAGAGCAGATCGCCCGAAATTGTATGGCTTTGTACTAACTATAGAAACAATCAGAACCACAAAGAACACTACGCTTTTGGCAAAAAGCACGGCTAACAAAAATCTCCAATTAACGGTTGTAAAATCCAGCTTGGCCATTGACAGAAAAATGAGCGATGGCAAAGCAAATGTCCCAACAAACGTATTCAAGCCATTGGCTTCCGATCTCGTGATGACTTCTAGTCTCCCTGCGACATATCTACAAGACAAACCGATTAACGTTTCAATGGATAAACACAAATGTCTATTCAACTCACCCGCACAAAATGATGCCAAAGCATTGCAGCAACGCGAGGTACAAGCTGTCTATGGGAGCAGCCGCTTCCTTAATCAGGGAATCCATGTTTTTCAACACAGGTCTTCAGGTCTTGTTATAAGTATGCAGCTGCCCGGAGCGTAGTTATCCACTGGAGCTTGCAGCTGCGAAGAGTCGTTGTCGTCTGTTCTCAGAATCGAATGTTATCTGTGCAAAGCACAAACAACGTGCATAAATTTCAGTGAAACTGGCACCATTACATCAAACTTGTTAAAGCGTAAAGATAACAATACCCAATACACTCATGAACTTTCGTACTTACGCAGTATATTAACGATCACAACAGGTTGGATTCGGTTGTTTAGAGAGAAGTTGCAATTACAGCTTGGGGCACAGCAGCCTCGGCTGAGCTTTGATTTGTGGCTTGCGTAGAGCTGCAAAACCACATAAAATCGCCATTGAAGCTCATGTTAATGGTACTTGTTATAAATGGATTAACACAAGAGAGAACAAAAAACCATACTCACGTACCATAGTGCACTTGCTTTTCGACGGTGAACCTCAAGTCATCTATAACACTATCAAGAGCGAACAGTTTTGAACGGAGAGAGGAGGAGAGTTTTGAGTTATTGCAATCACGTGGTACTTATTGCAGTGTTGTTCACAATTTGCTCTTTTTTGCAATTTCGCTTTCTCTCCCGCAGTACGCATTTGAGGCGTCTGCTGTTCTGGCTGTTGAAAAAAAAAAATTCATCCGATGACGTCATCTGTCACATTGATTCATCTCTCCTCCGATCATGTGGCGAACCGCGCCTCTGTTGAGGTAAAGTGTAAGCTGCAACTTCAAATTCGTGAAAATATTTAGTTAAAGTACATGTATTTTATAAATAAATTTTTATTCAGAATTCAGTGCTTGTAATTAATAAAAGGAGCAGATTTGTTAGTTATAATTTAAATAATGTTTTCTTCGCATGGACAACAGTATATATATACTACACTTAATATTAACCAACAGCGTAAATAATATAATAAACTAAGTTTTGAATACTGCGGGAACGTATTTATACGGTTGACTTGCATTTTAAGTACAGTTTCGAGGAATGAGGTCCCCGCAATTACTTTTTCTCTCTCTATAATTTTATCACCTACTGCATCTCCGATTATAATAAAAAATATAATTCAAGCCAATGTTAAATCTATACATAATGGACATATGGATTTCAGCTCCTTGTCCTCATATTTATTTGCTACATACACATTACTCAGTATATCGTGTATAAGAAACATAAAAGCATTAAATAAATGATACATTGTTAAGTTTTTTTTTTTTTTTTTTTTTTCACTGCTTCAAGTAATTATTGTGTAGAATAAAAATCCATCACAAATATTTCGGTATATGTATACATCATACATGTAATTAATACGTGGATTACAAAAATGATCAACATTATTCCAATAACCGGAGGTTTATTCAGTTGGAGATGCGAAAAAACAAGTAAAAGTCATACAATCAACACGCCAGGTATTTTTGCACATGTATATCGTCAGACATAAAATTATAGTCATCACTCTTTGATTACTTGATTCTAGTGTAACAAGATATGTACAGATATATTCGATTTCAATTAATCATGTAACATAACGCAATAGTAGTGTGGCTGATCTTTTGACGACGAGCAAATTGTATGAAATCTTTTTACACATGTATTTTTGTTTTGTTTTTGTTTATAATTTATTTATAATTAAGGCGATTGTGAAAATTATTTCGTTTCGCGGGAAACTTGCGATCCTCTGATATACGTTATATAAAAAAAGCGCCTAGAAACTTGGGTACATTGTTTTTCTCTCTCGATTTTAGAAAAATTACGAAAATGAGCACCGAGGGGGGTGTGTGTACGCACACGTTGATAGAAAACAAAAGCGCTGAAAAATACAACAAACCTTTTCAAAGCACTTTTTTATCGGCACGCATCAACATTTCACATAATTAAAGCTGCAACTTGCAGATGAAAAATAACACTCAAAAGAGTTTTTTTTTTTCCCCCTCTTTACGAAACTCAATGACCCTTTGTCACGAGTCGACATTTTTTTGTCTTTTTTAAATACTTACCATTCGCATAAAGGATTACATGGAGATAATTAGCTACATTGGTTAAAAAGAAAATAACTATACACGATAAAAGCCATGCATATAGAGGCGCGTGTATTTTGTATTGCGCGTAGGATGTAAATTTTCAAAGTGCCTTTTCTGCACGTGTTCAATGACACCCAACGGTATGTATATGTATATACAGGTGTCTATCGTCGGGAATACCCAATAAAAAAAAATTTAAAAAACAGGCCTATAAATAGCATTAAATTGTGCGTGGGTGTACAACCCACATGTGTTTTAGGGGAGCACTAATACACGCACTCTGGATTGATCGGTGCGACGATAAAATACTATATGCTCGTGAGTATAAAGGGGGAGACGAAAGGACGCGGTAACTAGACACTTTTCGGTCCTACATCGATTGGTCCGACGTACTATACGCTCGATCTAAAAATAAACTAGAGTATATAAGTATGTATTGTGTACGAGGGTGAAAAAAAAAAAAAAAACTCATTTTCGTACAAGAATTTCAAACTTCATGCGTGCGTATACTTACACATAAAAAAAATGTACGTATTTTGTGCAAAACGATGCAACATAATATACCGCGTGCATCTAAAACGTATTGTACATTTGTGTGTAAATTTTTTTTTGTTATCTTTACAAAGTTTAATAATCATCCAAGCACGAATTAACGATAATCTAAAATTTGGAAAAACAGTTAATAACTCGAAATGTATGTTGTATATTTATTATTTTAATTTTAGAAGAGCGAGAGTTCAACGCCTCGGTGTCATTGAAGGACGCGCACAAAAAGGTCTGTCGGTTTCCATTGAAAATGTATATACAATGTGTATATACACATTGAAAAACAATCAAAGCTATCGCGCGGGGGGGCTTTGAAGTGATTTCGAGTAAACGACGATAAAGTTACCGATGCGTCATACTTATAAGATGGTGAATGTGTTTTTAGTGTGCTTCACTCATCATTTTTATTTTTGCACCTCGAAAAAACAAAAGAGGTTTCTCCGAAATTCGACATGCTTTTGTGAATTCCAGTGATTTTCAACAACACCACCGATTTTCCGAAAGAAGCAAAAAAAGAACCACAATAATCGTTATCATCGTTATCTTCCGCGAAAGGAAAGAAATATATACACATGTCTTGGTGTATAACCCGGTGAATCACCGCGCATATATAGGAAAAGTACCTATATCGTACAATTTTGTTTTCGAAGAAAAAAATGCTATTGTATGAATGATATTGTATACGAGAGTCACGTTGCGTGTGGACTTACTCAAATTTATACATAACATACTGTCACATTTGGTACATATACGTCAATTGTCACGTGTCCGTGGATTGTTGCGTATATACAACGATACACACGCGTGCCGATACATATATATTGTTTTGATAAGAATACACACGATACCTACGCATTATTCCCTGTATACTTTTCGTCCTTGCTCACGTCCTCTCGTGTCTCGCCGTCACCCCCCCCCCCTTACTCGTTCCCATTCGATTAAATGGCCAACAACGATATATTTATACATGTATGTACACATTTTTTTTTTTTTTTTTTTTTATACTATAGTGTACTGACCTACTATGGGTATGTACACTGTCTTTATTCATTCAACATTTACATTGTCTTTTAACGTGTCGTTCTAATCGTATCATTATACATTTCTCTTATTTTCGCTTGTCATTACATTTTCGTTCTTTATTATTCGCATATCAAATCTTTTCTTTTATCTCCCCGGTCACGCAGGACCGGTTATCGGGAGCTCGTCACAATTCTTTATTTTTCAATCGCTTTTTTTATTTTTTTTATTTTTCTTTTTCATCTTAAAAACTAAATCTTTATCCTAAGTCGGTTTCATGAATTCGATACCCGGCAAGAACCATTAGAAAAAATCTGAGTACCCCGACCGGGAATCGAGCCATGTATACACACACCGATCGACCTTTTTCCACTGTAAATTCCTTCCCCTCATTTTACGTAACGAGTACCACACACACTGCTCCCTATTATTAATTTTATTGCGTAAACATATACAAACGATAACGCTTGTTTCTTATTTTTGCAAACCAGTATTTTTTACTACAAAGTTTGAAGAATCAAGTCCATCGTGTAGGTCATAGCATCGCATATATGGGCTACTATGTTTCAAAATAAAGGAAAATATAATACATATACATATGAAGTACTTACGTATTGAATGTAACAAATAACTTAATTGTACTTACCGCACATAAATGAATGATTTACGTTTCACTGTTTTACTCGTGCATATATAATTGCACTAAGTATGTGTTTGGGTATACTTGAAGAATACGAAACAAAGCAAAGTGACGATGATGATATATTTTATCTCGAAACGCGCATATACATCACATATTATATTCTGGTCGCACACAAAATATACATATGTATATGGATGTCTCGTTGGATGTACTGTACACGTTATATTTTCCTTGGCCGATTAAAAAAAGTCCGTCTGACTAATTAAACTGTTGACTCTCTGATTCAAGTGAACGAACGAATCGTTCATGTTGCAACGGGGCAATATATAACATATATAATTATCGAAAGACAGAGAGAGCATCAATTCCCGAGCGAATATAATGTCACGTACAAATACGTTTATTGTGTGTACTGTGTGCAAAATCATTGCAAAACGTGCACAAAGTCTCTATAATATATACTTATCATAAACTATGTATTATGTATATACATGTGTCAGCTTAAATAATATATTTATATTATGCATTCCAAACGAGATGGCGATGGGCTCGCGGGAGAAAAAGTTTGTGCAACCGCACTCGGTGCGTGATATTATGTATCCACTACGAGAGAACATATAATGCGCATATACCTTGTACAACACGTTAATTATCCTTCAGAACAACGTGCGGCATAACTAATTTTGTTCCGACCCAAGAATATATGTATACACATCAGAGAAAAGTGGAACGCGAGAGATCGGCTGACGCAACATTAGTGCCGATTCGAGCAACGATTCTTCGGTACCAATTGTCTCTGATCGACGAAAACAAAAAAACAAAAATGGTCCATCCGCCAAACACACGCGCATCTTTGGTAAATTGGTAAAAAGATAGCATATTGTGTACATGTGCGTATACTTGTACATTTACAGTATATACGTGTATTATGTGGCGCGCAATTGTATGCTCGACGTGCATGCAGTGGCTGCTTGATAAATAACCAACCGATCGCAATCCGGTTAATCATTGATTTTTACCTCCTTTGTACATTTTATATACATATATACACAAGTGTGTTTATTATATATACACTTGTTTATGCCCTATATATGTATGTATGTATATACAAATGGGCGTACACGTGCGTACGTCCGCACGTTTGCATGAATCACAAAGTTGCGTATGAATTCCGAGTGAATCGGAATGAAAAGCTGGGATGATTGGCATACAAAGCTGTTGTATACAATTTATCTCTAATAATGTCAAATGGAATTGCTCATGGATATAAATATATTATGTATAGGTGAACTGTGGATGAGCGACAAAAGATCTGCATATCGATCGATGCAAGTGTCCCTTTCCGACTTTGACGCAATATATAATATGTTACCGATTCCCTGAGTGTGCACATGTATAAGCCGATATACCGTTTGTGCATCTATATAATTATTATATTATACCCATACAAGTATTGAAGTATCATTTATGTCGTTGCGCGAATACTTACAACACATGATGTTTTTTTAAAGATTCACGCTTATTTTACTCCATACATTTTGTGGTTTTTACAAAGAGATGGAGTTGCAAAGCGAACCCACAGCGGTGACGTGTATTTTAGTTCTTAAAGGGCACAAAAGACAAAAGCGAAAAGTGTGTTGTTGTTTAATTACACGTCACAACTTACGCAACAAGATTATTATATGTTTCTTTGTGAATTACACTGAAATATAAGAAACTCTCTTTCGTGTACATGATATTGCGCGCAATTGGGTTTTTTTTTTTTCTGGGGCCGTACAATTTCGTAACCACATATACACACACACGACTGTACACTCGCACAATTATTTGTTGATTGTAACATACCTATAATTGGTGAGTTTTTTCTGTGCTGCTCAATCAACGCAATAAATAAATATTTTTTTTTTTTTATAATTA